CATTCCCTTTCCCAGCCAGCCCAGGCCCCTCACTCACAGTATGCTCCCCCATGGTGAGCCCAGCTCCACTCAATTCTCCATAACCCCAGAAGTGGAAGTGTCTTTGGGTTGGTCCCCACCTGTAGGCAGCAGCCAGTTTAGGAGTGGGAGATGGGAAGGGAGGTACCTTACAGATGGGGTTTGCAGAGGTTGGTGGTAGAAGGTTGTTGCCTCATTTCTTTGACTTGGCTTGGCTATATTGGAGGGTAGTTTCCTATGGAGCCTTTGCTCTTCCCCTGCCCCCTCCTCCCTGATGGGGCTCCTCAGCTAGCCTCTGCAATAGTCTCAACCACTCTGTGGGTCACTGCATTGAAGACATCTCACTGCCACTCACCAGCATGGTCCCTTAAAGGACCTCTGACCCTATCCTGTTTCCAATCCCCAGGAGAAGCTCAGGATGACTTTGAATGACCCCTTCCAGAACTCAGACTCACCTTCCCCAAACTAGGATCCAGGTCTGGGATCACCCCTCCCAGAAGACTAAAGGGAACACCACTACCTGGCGGAGTCTAACCCATCAAGCCAGAACCTAAGAGCCAAAAGTGGGACCTTTTCCTGAGGGTCTGCTCTGTGTCTCGTTCCCTCTTCCTTCAGTATTTCCTCTTCCTTCCTTTCTCCACCCTTCCCTGGATGGGTGACAGTGCAGAGATGGGACCTCCCCAGCCTAGGGTGGTGGTGGAAGGAGGGGTTAGTTGATGAGGGCTTGGGCAGGGCCCCCTCACTTGGCAATCTCAGGTAGTGGGGTCAGGAAAGCTTTTCTGTTTTCCCCCTCTTTTGCTCAGAGCGGGGGGCAACTATTGGACCATATTTTAAATTTCTCTCCTAACTCCTTCCTGCTGGGTTCCCCCTTCCCACCTCTGCTATCCCCAGACAGGGCTTGGTTTGGTGTGGCATGTAAATGAAATCCTTCTTTGCGGAAGAGGGTACAGCTCTAGAACATGCCACCATGGGGAGACTCTAAAGTTAAGGATAGAGAAGGAGTCTTCGTCACTTATCAGTACTTTCTTTTTAAAATTTAATTTATTTAAGAGAGAGCGAGCACGCAAGTAAGAGCAGGGGGAGGGGCAGAAGGAGAAACAGACTCCCCACTGAGTAGGGAGCCCAATGCAGGGCTCTATCCCAGGACCCTGAGATCATGACCAGAGCCAAAGGCAGAGGCTTCACTGACTGAGCCACCCAGGCACTCCCTTATCAGTACTTTCTTAAAGGGGAGTTTTGTTGTTGTTGATTTTTTAAAGAGGAGAAGCAATTCTAAGCCTCTTAGCTGGTCTAGCCAAAAAATTCTTAGGAAGAGTGGTGGCAAGACTGAGATCCCTCATTCCCTCACCTCCACCCACCCATCCTCATATTTGTATTGTTTCTTTAAAGTCATTTGGTGGTGAATTTTCCACTTCCTGGAAGCCACCCATAAAATGGCAAATAGGATGGCTTGCTCTTATCTCTGTGTCTGGGCCTAGGAAGAGGTAGTGGCTATATTTTAAGGCTGAAATTGAGCAGCTGAGCTTACTGAATTCATGGCTAGGGATCCTGTAGGGCCTTTATATCTACCAGCCCACCCAAAGCCTGCGGGGTAGTTTCAAGCTTCAGCTGCAACACTTCCTGTGTGCCAAAGCTACCTCAGCCTCCTTTAAACAAACAAACAAACAAACAAACAAACAAACAAACAACAAACACAATTTTTATCATAGAAATGCTCAAATGTATACAAAATAAGGGAATATTATAACAACCCTCCATGTACCCATCACCCATCTTCAACAATTATCCACATTTGGCTAGTCCTGTTTCCTCTATACAACCGCCTTCACACACTGCTCCTTTTCCCAAAACCAACACCGCTTTTAATTACATTTTTATTGAGATCCTTGTAGATTCACATGCAGTTGTAAGAAATAAGACAGAAGGATCTCTTGTACACTCTCCCTAGTCATTCCCCTGCCTTGTAACTGCTGGAGACTGAATATTCGTGTTCACCCCCTATGTCTTATGTTGAAACCTAATCCCCAGTGTGTGGGTCTTTGGAGGTCGGGTCTTTGGGAGGTGATCAAGTGACTAGTACTCTTATAAAAATAAGAGGGGATGCTTGGGTGGCTCAGTGGTTGAGCGTCTGCCTCTGGCTCAGGGATTGATCCTGGGGTCCTGGGATCAAGTCTTGCATCAGGTTCCCCACAGGGAGCCTGCTTTTCCCTCTGCCTGTGTCTCTGCCTCTCTGTGTCTCTCATGAATAAATAAATAAAATATTAAAAAAAAAAGATTCTGGGTAACTCCTTGCCCTTCTACCATGTGAGGACACAGTGAGAAGACAATCATCCACAAACCAGGAAATGGTTCCTTCCTAGACTCTGAATCTGCCAGCACCTCTATCTTGGAATTTCCAACCTTTAGGATCATGAGAAATATATTTCTGTTGTTTGTAGCCACCCAGTCTATGGTATTCTGTTATAGCAGCCAGAACAGACTAAAACAGTAACATTTTGCAAGACCATACTATAGTATCTCAAGGATACTGACATTCGTATAATCCACCAATTTTATTTGGCTTTCCTAGTTTTGTACTCACTCATCTGTGTGTGTGTATTAATTCTATACACTTTTATCACCCATGTAGGTTCCTGCAGCTACCACCACAGTAAAGAAAACCAACTGTTCCAACACCAAAGTATCTTTGGAACTGCCCTTTTATGACCATGACCATCGCCATCCCTCCACCTCCTCCACTTCATCCCTAACACTTGGCAACCACTAAATCTGTTTTCCATTTCTCAACTTTTGTTAATTTCTGAAATGCTAGAAAAATGGAACCATTAGGCATGTGATATTTTGGGATTGCCTTTATTATTATTATTTTGCTGTGCTCAGCATAACCTAGCCAATTCATCCAAGTTGCTATATATCAATAGTTTGTCCCTTTTGATTGCTGAGTAGTATTCTGTATGCCATAGTTTAACTCTTTACCTCGTGTAGGATGTTTGGGTTGTTTCCAGTTTTTGGCTATTATGAATAAAGGTAGTATAAACATGTTTAGAGGGGTTTGAAGTGCCCAAGGATACGGAATTAGCTACCATATTCTGGGGACCACAGGTGCTTACAGGGTCCATCATTGTTTCTGAGGGCTTTTTTTAGTGGACCAAATTAGGATATAATTTCAATTGAAACTAAAACAAACCAGGAGTTCATAAGCTACTTCCTAAATTCAAGACAACAGGGAATTTGCATAACAGTATATATATATATATATATAATATATATATATATATATATATATATAAAATCTTTTCAGCTATGCCAAAATTCTGGTTCTGATAATAACATAATGATGTTTTATCCTACACATTTTCACCTGTTTCCAACATGACTACTGAATACACTGTAAGATTTTAAGGCAGTTTGTTCATTTTTAATGGCAGTTAATTTTGTTCATAGGGTAGACCTTTGGGATGTACAGTTAAATTACTATTTTTTCAAGTCTTTTACAAGAGGTCCCTTCTGTGTAGTTAGGTCACCAACTAGATACACATTTAGGTTCATTTGTTTCATTTTACTTTCAACTTTTAGGGACTGGTTTTTAAAAATTAATTTCTGTCATATAATCACGGAAAACATAAGTTTCCAAAGTCAAATACACACACTATATTCAAAATCTAGCCTCTCTTCCTTTTATTCTATTATCTCCTTCTCAATGTCAGTAGCCATTAAAAGTTTTTGAATCATACTTCCACTTTTAATAAAACACAAGTATTTGCATTTGTATCTCCCTACTTTCACAAATGAATAGTAGAGGGAATTCGTATACTTTCTTATTCCTTTCTTCAGCAAGAAAGCTTGCAGTGTTTCACACCAAAGATTCTCAGAAATTTGTGTGTGTGTGTGTGTGTAAAATGCAGGCAGCATTCCGCCCCATCTTCCACAGCAGTTTTTGGTAAGATAAAGCATGTGAAAACTCTCAAACTGCAAAATGGTACACAAATGTGCCTGTTGACTATTAACCCCTTTTGGGGAGAGCCTCAAGACTCATGCACCTGACTTAGCACATTTTGCACAAGAAACAGGCTCACAGAACTGAGAGCACCTGCCCCGAGGAACACAGGGAAAGGATGGGAAATCCGGTCTCCTGTCTGGCAGGAGTCCAGGATAAATCCATGGAGACTTTTTTATTTTTAAAGATTTTATTTATTTATTCATAAGAGACACACATAGAGACATAGGGAGAGGGAGAAGCAGGCTCCCTGTGGGGAGCCCCTCCCGGGACTGGATCCCAGGATCCCGGGATCACGACCTGGGCCAAAGGCAGGCACTCAACCAGCGAGCCACCCAGGTGCCCCAAGAGACTTTCTTTGTAAAAACTGTACTCAATATACAGATACCTATTTTTATAAAGATGAATATGTTAGGGGGCCCCCAAGGGGGAAAAAGTCACAGAAGACGCCAGGCTGAATGAGGCCGTTATCGCCCGGACAACCACGAACGCCCGGGGTCCCGGGAAGGATCCCGGGGCTGGGGGCGGCGAGCCCCGCCCTCACTCCTCCTGGGGAGCTTCGGTCCCGGGTGGGAGGAACGCGAGGAGCTGCTGTGGAGGCACTGACCAGGGAGGGCCAAGATGAGGGCACCTGACCCTCCTCCAGTTAAAGCTGTCCCATTTGGCGCCCGGACCGAAGGCAATGACACACCCACCCTGGACTCCAGCAGAAGTCAGGTAAAAACTGCAGGACAAAGACACCACGTCCGCGTTTCCAAACGAGAAATGGCCTTCGTGAGGACCCGTAGAGCTTCCACCGGTAGCGATTCCAAAACTATGGTTTAGGGGCGGGGGCGAGGATTTGCGGGCGGAAGCCCGCGGGAGACCGGGAGCGGAGCAACGGAAATGACGCTTAGTAGCGCCAATGGGATGGAGCAGGGGCTGGACTTCCCGCCCCGTTGGACAAGGGCGAGCGGTTTCCGGTAGCGGTGCCCGGGGGGGAGGGGGAGGGGAGGGGTTGGCGAGTTTGTGTCCCGTGACCTCTGGCCTCCAGAGACCTTGCACCCCAGCAGCCGCACCAAGATGACGGGCTGTGGGTTGGCAGAGCTGGAGTTGGTCGAAGGGGAGGAGGCCGTGGCGGTCCCCGGGCCACCCCCAGAACCCCGCGCCCCGGAGCCCAGAGCCCCAGTGCCCGAGCCTGGTTTGGACCTGAGCCTGAGCCTGAGCCCGCAGTCCGAGACCCCCGAGCGGCAGACCTGCAGTCCGGGTCGACGGAAGGGGCGGGCGGACCGGCGGGGCAGGGCCCGCAAGGGGCGGCAGGTGAGCTGGGGGAAGGCCTGGCCCCCAGCCTGCCGACGAGCCCGCGCCCACCTCGTCACTGCCTCGCTCTCTGCTCCCAGGTCCGCTTTCGTTTGGAGCCGCTCTCCCCGGTGCGGTCCGAGCCGCCGTCGGCCGCCGCCGCGCCAAGCGAGAAGCCCGCAGCGCCGCAGGACCTGGGGGCGCCCGCTCAGCAGAGCAGCCTGGCCTTAAGCCTCGAGTTGCAGGCCGCGCGGGTTGCTGCAGCCGGGGGCCAGTTCGATGCCGCGAAGGCCGTGGAAGAACAGCTGAGAAAGTCGTTCCAGACTCGCTGCGGTTTGGAGGAGAGCGTGGCCGAGGGTGAGAGAGAGACGGCCGGCGGGGCGCGGGAGTGGGGATGAGAAGCGCCACTCACCTCCGCTCCCCCTGCGGTCTCAGGGCTGAACGTGCCGCGCTCCAAGCGGCTCTTCCGAGACCTGGTGAGCCTGCAGGTGCCCGAGGAACAGGTGCTGAACGCTGCGCTGAGGGAGAAACTGGCGCTCCTGCCACCACAGGCCCGAGCCTCGCCCCCAAAGGTGAGGGACCTGGGCTTCAGTTTCCGTTTCGTGCCCCTTCACCTTCCCAAGTGTAACTAACCTTGCTTTGGGTTCCAATTCCCAACAGGAGCCACCTGGGCCAGGGCCCGACATGACCATCCTTTGTGACCCAGAAACATTATTTTATGAGTCTCCACACCTGACCCTGGACGGTCTGCCTCCTCTCCGTCTTCAACTCCGGCCCCGCCCTTCAGAGGATACTTTCCTCATGCACCGGACACTGAGGCGATGGGAAGCCTAGACGTGGAGGCCCCCAGGATTGCTAGTTAATATTTTTGTGTTAAAACTATTTTTCAGAATAAAGTGGTTTTGCTAACAAATGACTCTTCTTCGGAGTCTTAAAATGGGTTCAAGCCTCAGGTGGAAGCTGTCTGGAAGTCAAGTTTTTGGCCGTTTTGGAACTTGGTAGTGATGGCAAGTTGAGAACACTGTTCCACCTCTTCCCCTGACCTGTCATAGACACCACGTTTGTTCCCTTGCGTTTTTTGTTTTTTTGTGAGTGAAAGCAGGGGAGTGCAGCGGGGAGGGGGGCAGGAGAGGGAATCGCTAGCAGGCTCCACACTCAGCCCAGAGTCGAAGTGCAACTCCATCCAGAGCCTGATGCTCAACCCACTGAGCCACTCATGCGCCCTTGCACTATTTCTTTCTCATCACTAACACGTGGATGAGTCTCAGTCTGTTAGGCTTCAAGGAGTCCTTCTTTCTTAATTACCTGGCTCCAGGAGCCTGAGAGGCAGTAGCTATTTGCACCCAGTTATTGAAATTACGTCCTTGTCTTTACTTGGAAGAGCCTTGCCCATGTTTACACCAGATCCAGGAGTGCTCAGTATTTGCTGAGTATCAAAGTTCCAAGAACACTGGACATGCTGAAGAGTTTCATGTTAATTACCTAGTCATCTAATTGCACATCACAGAAAAGGGGGGAGAGGGGGTGTCCCTGGAGCAGGTGGGAAGGTCTGTTCAGTAGTGCCTTTTTCTAGCTCCACTGTTAATTCTTCCAAAGTTAGCCTTTGTCCCGCGCTCCCACAAAACATTCTTGTCAATGCATTTTTGGGGGACGGGAGATGAACTCTTAAGTTTCACATAAAATTCACGTTATACCTCTCCTTCCTGATTAGAGTTCTGACTCATTGTGTATAGATGTAACTAGCATTCAACACTCAATCTTCCCAACCACTGAAAAATCTGTCCTTAATTCTTGAGACTCCAGTTTGGGCAGAGGAAACCCAGGTGTTTTTGGAGGCACCAACCCTTTCCCACTAGGTAGAAAGTGCCAGACACAAGTGTGGGGGCCACTGCCTGAAACATCAAATTTATTGTGCTGTTCTTACATTCCAAACCCAACCCCCTCTCCCAATGGAGGTGGGCAGAGGGAAGGATTTTCACAGTACCTGCATGCCTCCCTGCCAAACTTCCCCTTCACTTAACCCTCAGTCCATCTATCTGTGGTCCACTGCAACACAGCCAGGGACAAGGGCTGAGGAGAAATGGGAATCTCCTTTGGAGAGCAGGAGGAAGAGGCCAGAGAACTTGATACCGCCCACCTCCCATACCCTAGGAGAACAGAGGTCAGCAAACAGTCCATGCCATCCAGCCCAGTGAGCTGGGGGAGAGAGGAAGATGTCGGTAACTCCAGCACAGCTGGGCTTGCTGCTTAGATGCCAGAAGTGTAGGGAGGAGGCTGGGGCAGCAACGTAGGAAAAGCTTTCTTTGCAGATCCATGAAAGGAAACAATTTTTGGAGCCAAAAGGAAAGACTTTGAGATACTTTCCTTTTCCCCCAGGTCCTTAAGAGCAGTGGGTAACTTCTTCACACTTTTCTGTTCAGGGGGCCACTCAGTGGCTGGGGGAACGGGCCTTGTGGAACAGGTACACAGAACGCTGGAAGCCTGAGGAGAAAATGTGCAATCAGGAAGGGATGGCAGAACTCCAAGACTCCACAGCATCTGCCTTACCATCCCCTCCCTGCCCCACCCAGGTCAGCCAACCTTACCTCTGGAGGTGTTGTGGGGTGTAGCCACAAGCTCATAGCTGGAGAAGCCCACCTCTGGGGATGTCAGGTAGGAACTGAAGTGCTCTGGCCTCAGCTGGATTCGATAGTAGTTCTTATAGATTGTTTCCTAGGCAGAAGGGCAGGGGACCACATCAGCCTGTTAGCTTCTTCCCTGGTGTACAGTGATGCCCACCCAGGGAAACTGTCCACCTTGTTCAGAAAGTATTTCTCCTTTTTTGAGGCCTTTCTTGCCCCAACTAAAGGAAGGATATCCCAATATCTACCCAATTCCCAACTCACTGTCAGAGTCTTTCTCTTGCTGTAGGATGACCAAGGTTGGGGCTCTAGGACCAGGATGCCCCCAGGATGTAGATGCCGGTAGATTCGGCGAAACATGCGCTTTAGCCCCTCATCTCCCCAGTTCAGATGCACCCACTTGGTGAGGCTGAGGCAGAGCACCACATCATACTCAGGTGTTTGGGCCTCCACCAGCTCATCTCGATCCAGCACATAGTTACCCTGAGGGCAAGAATTGGGGGCAAGGTCAACAGAGGCAATAAAAGAACGACTGCCTCCACACAACCTGCTCGGCATCCTCCAAAACAGAAAGTCCTACAGCCTTAGCCCTTGGCCACAACCTTCTCTGACATTTGTCAGACTAACTCCCAGCCTCATTTTCTTGCTTTACATCCTCCTGCCCCTGCTTTCTGGTGGTGATAAGCCAAACATAAAAAGGGAGTGTGGATCATTTTACATTGACCAAGTTACCCAAAAGAGGTCTCCAAACTGAGGTGAAACATCAGAGGAAAAAAATGAGGGTTCTCCTGGGTCCATCTAGTACTTATTCCCACCCTGCAAACATTAAGCTGAGTGACCCAATGTTTTGCAAAGGGTCCTAACCCAGGTTTGAAAGGGAACCAACCTGTGGTTCCTTCCCTGGAGTCAAGGTTGGCAAAGTTCCAGGCCTATTTCCTTTCTCCAAGAGAAGTGAAAAGCCCCAGCCCTTAGGAAGCCTTTTCTAGATGATAAATTCATCAACATCTGCAAAATCATTTTTGCAAGCTTAACCCAACCTGCCACCACCAGTTGGCTTAACTGGAGTATTTTATGGAGAGCTATGTACAATCAGGGAACAGACACTCTGAAGACTACCCTTCCCACTTACAGAGGACTCCAACTCTCCCCATCTCAAGATCTCAGGTCACCATGAGATGACCTATGGCCAAACTACTTGGGGTCCTGACCACCAACTCTTCAACCAACTCTGGATCTAAGTCCCTATCAAAGTATTAGTCAGCCACCACCCTATTCCTCCTCCCACCCCAAAACATTCCATGTCTGACACCTATCCCTTCATGCATCTGCATTCAGTGCGTTGGGAAAACTTTCCAACTGAACCAAATCTAGTGAGCAGCAGGAGCAGCCTGCAAGGGAAGGTGGACTGGTCTGGATTATAGTCCAGGACAGAAGCAGGGCAAAAGGAGTCATGACAAAGGAGCCTAGGTAGAGCCCCCATGTTTCCAGGTTATGGGGCGGGGGGAGACACTGTCAGTCACAGATTCAGATCCCTGAAGATCTGGTTCTCCTGGCAAAGAGTGCATGCAGAAATCCCTCTGGGTCATAACTTTCCTGTCTTATTCCCACTTAATCTCATCTTCACACCTGGCCCCTATACCAAGAGCCTTCAGACCCTCTTACCGTGACGAAGACAACATTGTTGGGGAAGACTGATGTGTCTGCTCCATCCAAGGGCACTTGGGGTGCAGCGATGGGACCCCGGCTGGCTGTCAGTGAGGCTGGGAAGCAGCTTCTCTTTCGGACGGTTATGGTCCCTTCTTCACTCTCTGCCCCTGGGTCCCCCTCAGAAGTCTGGGATGGCAGACGCAGCTCCTCAGACAGGTAGTGTCGGATGTTTTGGCGGGCCGAATGAATGAGCCGGGAATCGATATCCAGACCCACCATGCGGGATGGGCCCCACTTACAGGCAATGCTCAGGGTCAGATGGCCCACATTGCAGCCCAGATCTAGGACGTCCCGACCCCGAAACCACTCAGGCTTCAACACTCGAAGGCGCCCATCCTCACAGGAGGGATTTCGGTAACCATAGTACTTGCAATAATTCCCATACTGGAACTTGAGCTGTTGCTTTTTGAAGCCTGCTGCAGGTAGTGGGTGGAGGTGGAGGTGGTGGTGGTGGTGGTGGCGGCCTCCCCCACTCCCTCTGCCCTTCTCCTTGGGACCCTGGACTCCACCCCTAGCTCCTGCCTCTGACTTGCTGGAAGTCCTGCGACGTTTGCGATGTCGTGAGGAGGAAGACGGGGTTGCAGAGGTAACTGAGGCAGCTGGAGGGGCTGAAAGGGAGCTTGAGGGACCCTGGAGGGCAGATGGAAGGGGAGACACGACCTCATCCCTGCAGTTGATGGCTGTGTTGAGTTCATAGGGCTGAGGGGCATCCCGGTTGTGGCCCCTGTGCCGCTGCTGCTGTGGGGTGCCCTCCCCATGGAGTGAGGGAGTGAGGGGGGCTGTGGGGAGCACAGAGTGGCTATCATTCCCTCCGGTTGCCTGCTGCTGCTGGTGGTGCTGTCCCCGGTGTCTATGCCGCTTCCGACCAGTCTTGAGTGGCGATGCAAGAACTACCTGGGCCTCATCAGTGCAAGTATTGAGACTGAGCGGGTCAGTAATATCTTTGGGGATGAGGATCTCCACTGGATCTCGCCCCTTGGCCGGAAGTGGAGATGACTTAGGGGTCTCTGCATTGAGTGCGCGGCTCACTTCCTCATCCAGGAGGCTATTCAGGTTCAGTGGATCAAAGATATTGCCCCCCAGGAGAAAGTTGGAGGGTAACACAGAATCACAGTCCGAATTAACCCGCCTGCGCCTCTTGAAGGCCGGATGTTTGAAGCCTCCACCACCCCCTCCCACGTTACAACTATTTCTCCTCTTTCCCCCACCTCCCCCAGGGGGCCGGTGGGGCTGATAGCCATTGCGGGGTCGAGGAGGGGCAGGGGGACCCAGTTCTGTTCCGCCTCCTCCCCTTCGCTCCTCCCCAACGTCAGGGGGAGCGGCTCGCCCGTGGGGATCCGACAAGCGGGCCTCCCCATGAGACTGTGCCTGGGGGCCGCCCCCTCGTTGCTGCTGCGAGTGGCCTCCCCGAGTGGATGTAGCCCCGGGGCTCTCCTTGCCGACCCCAGAAGCCGGGGCCCCCGTCGAGTGTGTGCGCGGGCCCGGCCCACGCTGCGTCCCGCCGCAGAGCTCCCCGGAGGCGGCCTCTCGGTGAGGTTGCAGCGTGGGGCCGCCCCCTCCGCCCGACTCCTCTTTGAGCGGCGGCGGCGGGGCCGGCACCAGAAACGGCTCCTTCTTCGCCGCCATCTCGATCATTTCCTCCCCTTATTCCGTCCCAGTCGAGGGCAACGGGGGGGGGGGGGGAGAACTAGGGGGCTTAACCCCCCTCCCTAGAGCCCGCTCCCTTCCCCCCTTCCCTGAGTGCGCGCGCAGCTCTGCTCTTCTCGCCTAGTCTCGCGCCCAAGCGCCTCCCCCGAAGCGCGCCCCACTCGCCCGCGAGACCAAAACAAGATGCCCGCGAGAACCGAACTCCAGGAATCAACCGCGCGTGCGCCACCGCCTTTCTCCTCCACCACTACCGCTTCGCCGCGAGCGCGCACTGCTAAAGCGCGTTCCTCTCGCCCCTGAATTACGCATGCGCACTCCGCCACCACCCTGGTTGCGCGCGCATGAGTACGAACCAACTTAACGGCTCCGGGAGTTTAAATATAGCCCACCTCAGCCCCCACAAAAGCCCACCACCCCAAACTGACACCCTACTTCCCTTCGCAGCTATGTCCGTCCCTACTGATATCCTTTGTCTCTGCCGCGCGATCCCACCCACCGTAGGCGGGGGACGGGGAGCTGGTGTGAAAAGGTCTCCTTGACACCCGACCCTTGTTCCTGAGGAATGAGTCTCAGCGGTCTCCGCCCGGCTCTAAACCCAGCAACCTCCCTACCCCGCCTCCTTCCTCCCCCTAGCGGGCAGCGCCTGCGCACACCCTTTTGGGCATGCGCGGGTAGATACAGCACGTGTTGGAGATGACGCCCCGCCCTCCACCCTAGGGGCGGAGACTGTTACGTCGCTTCCTTAGATTTGGTACACGCAACGTGCGTCAGCACGGTTTGGAGGGGGCGTGGTCAACGAGGGCGGACCTCATGAATTATTCATATTTCGATCGCCCCCTTTGCCTACCTACTTAGAAAGGCTTCCGAAGGAACGGAGGGGTGAACCTAAAAGTAGAGGAAGGGAAGGAGAGGAGCGTACAGACGGTTTGCCTACGAACTGTTCTCAGTAAAATACAATAAGTCATTGTAACTCACCCCCCTGGGAAATAGTCTCTGCTGAACTGAAAAAAAAAAAGGCACTAAAACAGCCGATGTTGTCCAACTTCCTCTTCCCCCGAAATGGCCGAGTCGTTTTCTCGCTCCTCCGCTTTACCCCAATGGCGATCACCTGGGGACACCACGCCCTCCTCTCCGCCTCCACACCCACAGCCCTGGCACCAACACCTCTTCCCACCACCCGACGCCTGCGCGCGAGCCCCTAGCCCGCCACTGCGTCCCAACGCCCACCGCAGCCACCAATAGCAGCACATTTGCCGCCACCACCGCCACCTCGCACGCAGACCTTCTCAAGCACACGCTCTCTTCGCGCAGCCTTATATAAAAACGAGTGTGGGCGGGGAAGAGGGTTCGGCCTGCTTTGGGCCCCCTGCCTCGGCCAATGGGGAAGAAGCTGCTCGGCGCCCTTTCCACAGGGTGCTAAGGTGGCGCGTTCTCCCTGCCAACATAGCTTGGGGAGTGGGTCCTGTGGCAGAGAAGAAGGCGGGAGGGGCGGCAGTGGGGTTGCAGATAGTCTCAACTAAAACATCAAGCTAGGGCGTGAACGAGACTAAAAGGAAGAATAGGAACCAGGAAACGAAAAGAGGAAGGAAAAAGCAGTCTGGGGTAGAGAGAAAAGTTAGTAACAGACAGATGTGCTTCATGAACGATCAGGCGCTGCTCCCGCCGCCTAAAAAAAAAAAAAGTGAGGACACTGAGGATTATGGGATTTGTAGTTTTACAGGGCATTCGGCTGGAAGATGGCGGCTAGAACAGTTGCGCAAACGCAGAAGCAGTTTCAGCTGCGCATGCGCCCCAGTTTTGGATGCACGCCGCTGGGGTGGCAGCGCAGCTAGTGCGTGTCCTCACGCCTTTTCTTTGTGGCGGGAAAACTGGGTCGAGGTTGGAGGGGTTTGCGGAATTGCTGCAGTGGCTCATTCTGCTCTTTGCCTTTAGGTCCTCCTTGCTCCAGAAGGTAGCTGGCTTTTCTCCGGTTGCAGATGAAAGTGCTAGGCGCTGCCAGTCCTGGTACCCGTCGCCTGAGGAGAAGTTTTCTCTTCTGGACAACCAACTCTTACCCCTCCTAAGAATCTCCACCGCAGACCTACCCTCAGCAAACAAAAGTGACCCAGTATCCTGGCGGCCAATGACGGGCTGAGCAGGAATGAGAATACGGGTGCCTCCCCCCGGGGTGGGGGTGCGGTCGGGCCTCTAACGGGAAGTTATCTCATGGTGGCGGTTCCTGAGGTGGAAGAGAGGCTTGCAGCAACCCCCTGTCTTATCCACTGAGGGGAATCAAGGACTTGGACTCTGGTACCTCCGATCTTAACTACCGTCCTTAAGAGAGAGTTGGTGAGGGAAGAGAGCGGGGAAAATGCGGATCTCCAGAAGTTCTTCCCTCTGGTTTGAAGGCGGAATTAGGGTTTTTACTGTTCCAGACCATGGCACCTTGTGAGAGGAAATGGTGCAGGGATCTAGGGGTTCGTGGGAATGTGCTTAAGTGAAACCAATAAACAAAGGCGAGTTAGTTTGGTAACGAGCACCAGTGGCAGTGTTGGAGCTGGCAGATAAGAGTCAGAATGAAATCAGCCCCCACAAAAGAAAACTTGTATTTTGGTGCTAAGTGGCCATATCTTTGTGCTTCCTTGCCCTCTGAACCGATAAGCTTCAGTTCACCGAAAATATATTGAAGAGATTTGGTACAAGGTTTAGTTCGTAGTTACCACAGTAAATGTTGTTAGATAATGGGCAGTAAAGGGAGCTGGGATCTTGTTTTTACCTTTTTTCTTGTGAAATCATGCTTGCTGAGGAAGAAAAAAAAAACCCACTATGGTTATTAATGGGGGCATGAAAATAAGCAGGGATCCACATGCCATTAGACATTGATGCCAAAAGGAAATCAGACTCCAAGATGAAAGATTTTAAATATAGTGTTCCAGGCTCATGGAGCCTGCACAGACTGTGTGTCTGAGGAAAATTCTAAAGGGTTTACTTGTATTCTCTTAGACCAAGGATTCCAGGAATAGTATAAAGAGGAAACAATTAGATAGTTAGAAATTTCTGAACACGTTCTAAATGGGAGGGAGGAGGGTTACTGGTTTTTGAAAAGTATTGACATGACTGAATTGTTATTTAGCTAGGTCAGTTCTCAAGCTTATTGGTCTCAGAACCCTCCTTACTATACTCTTAAAAGTTGTGAAGGACTCCAAAGATTGGTTTATAGCTATATAACTTTTATATCTATTGATAGTAACATAACACATTTAAATGAATTAATTATACTTAATAATTATGTAGATATAAATAACATTTTTATAAAAAATACATTTTCCTAAATGAAAAAAATTTAGTGTGAAGAATGGTGGTGTTTTACATCTTTGCAAGTCTTTTCATGTCTGGCTTAATAGAAGACAGCTGGATTTTTATGTTTCTGATTTCAATCTGTTTCAATCTTTTGTTTTGGTTAAAGTATATGAGAAAATCCAGCCTAACATGGATAAGTAATTGGAAAGGGGCGGGGACCCCCAGAGGTCTTTGGATCACACTCTAAGAACTGCTGAGGGAGATGATTTCACCTTAAAATCACTGTGGTGATCTTTAGTGTTCTTCTTCTTCTTCTTCTTCTTTTTTTAAGATCTTTATTTGTTCATGAGAGACAGAGAGAGAGAGAGAGAGGCAGGCTCCATGCAGGGAGCCGGATGTGCGGCTCAATCCTGGGACTCCAGGATCACTCCCTGGGTGGAAGGCAGACACTCAACCGCTGAGCCACCCAGGCATCTCAATCTTTAGTGTTCTAAATGAAAACAAAACAAAACCAAAAAAACCCCAAAACACTTCATTCACCTTCTCTTGGTTCTCTTTATTCCTTATTTCCAAGTTCTTTTTCCCTTTTACACTCTTTCTTATGTTGGGTGGGTAGGATCTGATTTATGGAATTTTCTTTTACTTTCTAACTTAAAGCATTTTTTAAAATTTTTTTGCCTTTCTCATCTGAGGTAAAAACATACAAAACAAAACAACCCCTCAAATGTTATTCCTGGCTCTAGAGCCCTTGGGCATTTAGTAGCTGGTCAGATGAAAGTTGGTGGTATTTTGTGTGTTAACTGGTTTAAAATATTTTTCTCTCTCTCTGGACTACATTTTAATATTATTGTGGAAGAAGAAAATTCGTCTGAAACAGAGGAGCAGAGACTTGAGTTGTCAGAAAGTGACTTCCTGGCTTTCCCCTTTCTATTGATCAGTTTAGATTTAGACATTTTTTTTAAAAAAGTAATGTTCTTTACAAACACACTCTAGATTAAGGGGGAATTATATATTGCTGCTTATAGATTTACATTTTATTAACAATGATCCACAATTTATCCAGTTGGTTGGGGCGCCAGTAACACATTTTGGCCTAGAGAGGTCAGTGTAGGTTTAGGTAATGATTTGAACCTAACTACTAGAAAATTTTGCATTTTTAAGTGGATCAGACACTTTATTTTTTCAAAACACTATTTAAAGAATTTGGAATTTAGGGCAGCCTGGGTGGCTCAGTGATTTAGCACCACCTTCAGCCCAGGGTGTGATCCTGGAGACCGGGGATCGAGTCCCACTTCAGGCTCCCTGCATGGGCCTGCTTCTCCCTCTGCCTGTGTCTCTGCCTCTCTCTCTCTCTGTCTCTCATGAATAAATAAATAACATCTTTTAAAAAAAAAGAATTTGGAATTTAGAAAATAACCTTTTTTTAAAAGATGTTATTTATTTATTCATGAAAGACACACACACACACACACACAGAGGCAGAGACACAGGCAGAGGGAGAAGCAGGCTGCATGCTGGGAGCCTGAGGGACTCAATCCCGGGACTCCAGGATCACACCGTGAGCCGAAGGCAGGCCCCAAACCGCTGAGCCACCCAGGGATCCCTAGAAAATAACTTCTGAAGTGGTAACATTGTCATGTTATAAAATGCTAGAGATATACAAGGGGTGTACAGTAAAAAGCTGTCTTCCACCCAGCCACCAGTTCTATTTCCTAGAGACACTTCTGTCAGTTTCTTGTATATTCTTCCAGAGATAGTTTATGAATATTCAAGCATAGTATGTAGATACACACTTTTATTTTTTATTTTTTTTCTCATAGAGTAAATAGACTTAGGGGTTCATGGTGATGATTTAACAGTGAGAACAGTGCTCCTGTTCAGTGAACAGTGAGAAAATGTGCTCCTTTATATAAAGGAAAAGTAGTCACAGAACTGCACATCTGAATTATTCACATTTACAGAAGTGAGACAAGGAACAAAAAAATACCAAAATATAATTTGAAAATCCATGCTGTAGACACACTAAGTTAAGCTCCCAATACCTTTTTAATTCATCTTGGGATCTAGAGGGAGGAATTCTATACCCTGAGTAACTGAATGTTCACCATAGTTTGGTCATTTGAGGGTCTTATAATTTGAAGATCCTTTAAAAGGACATGTATATATCTTATATATAAGATCTATTTTATGCTGCCTTTGGGTATCTTTATAATGGGAGATGACATAGTTGGAAGATCGAGTTTCAGGTCCAGGGCCTTCAAATTTCTCAAAACCAACAGTCAGAAATAAGATCATTGGTGGAATAAATGTGTTATTAGTAGAATTTAGAGGCAAAAGGCCTGGGTTCATCTTGGCTCTACCATGTATTAACACTGAGGCTTTGGGCAAATCACTTACTTGCCTTTTGCATATTTTTTTCATCTGTAAAAAGGGAAGCTGCCACTTTGTGACCTCTGCAGACCCTCCCAGAGCTACAATGCTTGTTATAATTGTTACAGGAATAAGAATAGCTTACATGCGGTAAGCCAAAAGAACACTGGGTAGAAGGGTTATAAGAAATTTAAACTGATAAAACAAAAGGCATTTTCCTTCTAATTGCTGAGTAGAAATAGTACACTGGTGGAAAGTAAATTGGAAAAAAATGTACAAATTATTGCAACGTCATAAGATGATTCTTGGCACTGCTAGGCCACAGATACCTTATAGCTGTGTGCAGATGCTAATCTCTTCGGCCTGTGGAGTGGCTGGGGCCCTCATACTCCTGCCTCTCAGTTTTCTATGGCCATGAAAAACCTTTTATTCCAGAATACCTGGAAATATAATTTTCTGTGTGTTTTAATGTGTATTTTTAATATATGCTTTCCATGTGTGCTGTAATATTAAAATGGGTTTGAAGCACTGAATTAGACTGTTGGGATATAGCATACCACAGTTAATAGCACAGACTTTAAAGTCAGGCAGGTTCAAATCTTGCATCATCATCTATTAATTACCTATTATTATGTTTAAATTCCTCTTACCCTCAACTTTTCCAAGTTTAAAAAAGTAGTGATCTCATAGATTTACTGTGAGAATTCAGTTAGATGACATATAAAAGGGTAAAGAATATAGTTGGTGCTCAATAAGTCTCCACTATTATTATTAGTCACAATTTTCATAGTAATAATGAAGCATACTGGTGTAGTACAGAACATCAGTGAGTAAATAGCTATAGGATATAGAGTGAAGGTAATAGATTCCTATTATTTGCTTCCCTGGGGACCTCTGCTGGTTACCAAATATTTTTGAGCCATGAAGAGAAATTGCTAGAATCCAGCACATTGGAAAATTTTTGGACTAGAAGATCTAAGTAAAGGGAAGATATAGATTATAGTGATGTTAAAAAGGGGGGTTCCCTATGCATAGGGACCTCTGAATTAGGTCAGAGAATTGTCAGATTATTTGTGTTTTAAGTATTTAGGAGAATCTTTTGAGATAAATTTGTCTGGAGAAAACTCACTTTTAAATTGTCAGGACTATTCATACTACTACTACTACTACTACTACTACTACTACTACTGCTACTTCTTATACTTACATCTGTTAAAAACAAGACAACAGGCCCAAAATGCAGTTGCTTCTGTTAAGCTCCATGTCACCAAAACAAGACTTAAAGTTTTGACTCTGCTAGAAATAGAATCTTGGTTTATAGTCCATCAGGAATCACCTGATCAGCACTATTAGATAATCTGCCTAAAAGACACCTACCATCTCCTACAAGAAAGTAAATTTGCAATAGCTAATTTGCTTTTTTGCCTAGTGTAACTTCCTTGTTCCTGCTCCTCCTGCTTATAAAAGTCTTTCAGTGATTTTTTTTTTAATGCATCACTACCACTACCACTTCCACTATTGATGCATGCCTGCCTTATGTTGGACATGAATCTAATTCTTAAAACACTAAGGATTGTTGCTAATCTTTAAAACAGTAACTATCGCTCTGTGTCTCTCATGAATAAATAAAATGTTAAAAAAAACCAAAACAGTAACTCTCATTATCCCCTGGCATGTGATTAGCACTGCTGAGGATATAGAAGTATAGTCAAGAGGGCAGAAAATGTAGTTCAGCAGTCTTAGGCAAAGATCTTGAGCCCAAGATGACAGAGAAGAAAGTTTAACATCATGTTCCATCAGAGTTCTAGCAGTTACTTTCTTTTTCCTAACAGAGGCACAAAGAAAGTGTAGCTTCTGAGCTGAATGGTGGCAATGCTGCAGAGTAAAGAAGGTGAGTCAAGAGTGATGGAGGTTCATGTTTTGTACATTTCTCTCATTTTTCCCTTTTTTCTCAGTCCTTGGATGTCTTGATACCCCTCCCACCAAGGGGAAGCTCAGGATATATACATTTTGTGTCCACTTTGTTAAAGTTACTACTTTTCTAGAGACTTTGAGCGAAATATATATGATTTAGAAGTAGTCCAGTCCAGCTCAAGAAATGTACAAATTCAGGGAGACAAAAGACATTTATTTATTTTTTATTAAAGATTTACTTATTTACTTATTTATTCTTATAGACACACACAGAGAGAGAGGCAAAGACACAGGCAGAGGGAGAAGCAAGCTCCATGCAGGAAGCCTGACGTGGGACTCGATCCCCGGTCTCCAGGATTACGCCCTGGGCTGCAGGCGGCGCTAAACCGCTGCACCACCAGGGCTGCCCACAAAAGACATATATATATATATATATCTATAACACAACTTGAATGTGGTAATGCCATCAGAGAGGCATGAAGTGTTCTGGAAGCTCAGAAGAAAAAATCTATTTATACCTGGGAGGATCAGTATAATTTTCTTTGCACTAGTTCCCCACCCCCCCAATTTTCTAATTTCTCATAAAGTTTTGTTTAAAGTTAAAATGAATGCATTTCAAGAATTTCCGTTTGAATAACTCATCTTCCTGCATGTTTATATTTGTCACCTTTGAACTATTCAGTAGTTCCTAAACTTGGTATCAGAATAATCTAGATGGCTTTGTAAAACAAGTTCCTAGACCTCACTCCCAACTATTTCTTCCAAATCTCAGGGGGTAGGGTGGGTTGGGAGAGGAGAGGCCTAGTAATCTGATTTTGTTAAAAGCTCTCTCCAGATAATTCTGATAGAGCCAGTCAAAGGGCAGGTGCAAACACTTTCTATGCTAGATTCTATGTTTCATAAATTCTATTTGATAATCAAATTTCTTTCAGAATGTGGGAAGGAGCCAAAGAAAACCTGTACCCCATCTGCACAAAAATTGTATAGCATGATGTGCTATAGCCCTAACTCATCCAAAGAGGAATCCTTGGGGGTCAGTTCCCCAAAGGCCAGGTTAAAGAAGAAGGAAGAGAAAACAACCACAGAAAATGGTTCAAGCAGTGGCCAGGAGAATAAAGGAAAGCCTCAAGACAAGCAAGCAGAGAAAGAAAAGGTACTAGTCTCACTGTTGGACTCTAGTGGGATAGTTTCTCCTAGACATCCAGTCTAGACAAACAATCTTTTCATGTAGGGGCACTTTCAGGTTTTTAAAAAATTCTTTTCTTGGGGCTTCTATTTTCAACTCAAAGAGGTAAAAAAAAAAAAAGTTTTGATGAAAGCCTTTAGCTGGAAATAATGGCTGGGTAGGGGTTGAGGTAGGATGGAGGTGAGAGGAAATGTGATCAGAGACTTTAGAAATAAACTTTTCTTTGACTCCTTTATTCCCAGAAATAAAGTTTATAGAATCCTTAGGGACATTGACTTTATGCTCACAGCCTGATGAACTACTGGCTTATGTAAAGGAGTCTTCCCTGTCTGGTCAGAGAGGAGACGTGGGGAAAGATGAGTGGTTTTCCTCCTCTGCCCTTATATCTGCAGGAAAAATCAAGTCTCACCAATGCAGAATTTGAGGAGATCGTCCAGATTGTGCTACGGAAGTCCCTCCAGGAGTGCTTGGGTATGGCTTATAGTGAGAGAAGAATTTTAGTTAGACATACTTTTTTTTAAAAAAGATTTTATTTATTTATTCATGAGAGACACACAGAGGCAGAGACATAGAGGGAGAAGTAGGCTTCTTGCAAGGAGCCTGATACGGAACTCAATCCCTGGACTGGGATCATGCCCTGAGCCAAAGGCAGACATGCAACCACTGAGCCACCCAGGTGTCTTTAGTTAGACAAACTGTCATCTGAGGGGTAGAGTAAGTTGATAGCTTTGCCCTTCCCTCCAGTTTCCTAAGTAAGGAAATATCATATGGACTTTAAAATATTTTTAAATAGTTCATCTTCTTTCAACAGGACTATAGCTAAACCATCTCAAGCAGGGGGTACAAAGCTTTTAGAAAAATGGGTTACATTGACTTCAGAATATAAATACAGTCTCAGATTGTTTTTTAAAAGGCAACTTAAATTCATTTTTACATGTTTACAATCTACTTAGAAAAGATAAATTATATTTCCCAGATTTGAAGAACTTAGTTTCCATCTACCTTGGGTATTTGTTTCCAATACTGTTTTAACATATGCTCAGGGATTTGGCTTTGGGAATACTACAGTATTCTATACTATAGAACTCTATAGTGCAGGCCCTGAGGACTTCACCATATATCTTGAGGAGAAGGGGCATAGTCTGATGTTTTCAGCCATTCTTAGGTGTAGTTCTGTTTCTAGAGAAAGTTTCAGGAACAAGTCATATGAAATGTAGTACATAAAATTTCTGATATGTACACAAAATAAAATTGACATTACCTGGCTATCCTGGAGCAAGGCAGATCAATCTGGAAAGGCTTGGTGAAAGACATAGATTTGCAGTTTTTCCTGAGAATTTAAAGACTTAAAGTTCTGTGATCTGATGAAACTTCAAAGGTGGGCTCTTCCAGACAACAGGTGGGAGATGTTTTAATTTCTAAGCTGTTTTAAGCTATAGCTTAGAAATAATGGAGTCGGTATTTTCTTTAATTGCTTCTCTGCTTATAATATTTTGTTTTGGGAGAGATGGGATCTAGCCTTGATTTTGCAGAGACTTCCTGTGCCCAGCCCATAAGATGCACCCTATTAGACAAGGAACCAGGAATTGCTGCTTCTACTGATAATGATAATGCTGATGGGTGAGTTTATCCCAGTGAGACAAATTGATCACAGGGTGCACTTAGCATTGGTAAATGGTTTTATCTGCCTATCTAGTCATTTTCATATCTCTATGGATTTCTCCCAGCTCAGGAAAGATGCCTGTTTGAATTGGGGAAAAAATAGGCAAGTAGATGAACAAAATTCTTTCTTCTCCCCCTCTCTTCCTCCTCCTCCTTCTTCTTCTTTTTCTTTCTTCTTTCTTCTTCTTCTTTTTTAAGACTTATTTACTTATTCAGAGAGAGAGAGAGAGAGAGAGAGAGAGAGAGAGGCAGAGAGGCAGAGACACAGGCAGAGGAACAAGCAGGCTCCATGGAGAAAGCCCGACAGGATCACACCCCAGGCCACAAGCGGCGCTAAACTGCTGCAACACCAGGGCTGCCTGGATTCTTCTGTCTTTTATCCTTGTTCCCCCCCCCCCAAAAGAAGAGTATGATGAATTGCTCCTTTTTTCCTTTTCATTAAGGAAAAAAAAATATTATTTTCAGAGAGAGGGTAATGGTACCTCATATCCTAGAGATTTCAGCCACTCAGGAAGCTGGAGTAACCTCTGTGATAAAGACATCTAAGCCAGGCCAGCCAGATCCTGCACCCTCTGAGAAGAAATCCAATAGACCCTTCCTAAGCAAAGGAAAGAAGGGAGCCCGTAAGTATAGTTAGATATACTTTGACATCTGGCTCAAGTACCTATGCCATAAAATTAAGGACTCAGACAGTGGGAAGGCTGAGATTCTTCAGTCCAAGGCTTGAAACTATCAGGCTACAATGCTTCTTCTGGCTTTCACTGGGCCTTACTATCTATAAAGATTCTCTTCATCTCCCTACCCTGCAGTGTTTTGTTTTGTTTTCCCAGAAGATGAGAAAATGGAGAAAACCCAAAGTGGACATGAGCACAGACAGAAAGACCAACTGAAAAAAACAGTTCAGGTTGATTCTCAAATCAGAAACCAGCAAAGAGGAAAAGGAGGTGGTTTTGGTGAGTTCAGCATGATTTGGAAAACTTCCTGGGCTTGAAAATTGGAGATGGGGATGGAGAGAGGCAAGGTTAGGTTGCTTGAGGATATTCTGCGAAGACTGTAGTTTCTCTCTCATGGCTACTTGGCAGGGATATGCTGCTGTGGAAGAGAGAGATTTCATTCATTTAGTTATTCTGGGGTATAGTCCATAGTCGTTGGGTGCTTACTATACACCAGGCATTTTAGGAAGTGCTGAGTAAATGCGGAAGAAATTAATATATGCCTGTTGGAAGGGAAATGGGCTTGTGAGGAAGGCAAACAAGAAAGCTACAGGTCTGGAGTAGATCTGTAAAAATTTCTAAGAAAAGATTCTGTTTGAGCCATATGTCGGAAGTATAATTTAGGCAGGTGAACTGAAGTGGCGATGGGTATCAGAGTGATATTTATTGGCAGAGTTATGGAGGAGAGCTAATGGTTATAGCTTTAGGGGGTGTTGGGGGGCAGGATGTTGTAGGGGGAGATAAAACTAGAGACATGCAAGGGTCAAATCATAAAGAGCCTTACATGTTAAGCTAAGGGAGTTGAATTTTATTTTTAAAGCTAAAGCAGAACCACTGGCATTAGGGAGGGAAAACTTGGTAAGATTTGTATTTTAGAAAGCTCACTCTGCCACTGGCATTGAAGATGGATTGGTGGGAGCAAGACTAGACCCACAGAAATAGTGATCCAAGCAAGGAAGATAGACAGTAGCAGTTAAGAGGAAGAGACAGATTTGAGATTTTTAGGAGGAAAGATCAGAATATGGTTACTAGTTAGCTCTGAGATGTGAAGAAGAATGAGGCCTTCAGGATGATCCTGTTTTCTGACCTGAGTGACTGAAAAACCATTGTTCTAAATGGAGAATATAGAAGCAAGAGCACATTTCAGATGGGAATTCAGCTTTGGACAAGGTAGGGGGTCTGTGATGAGCTTTAGCATCCAAGAAAGAGATCTGGGCCAGAAATATGGATTTGGGAACCTGGATGAAATTTTCCAAGAGGAAGATGTGGAGTGCAAAGAGAAGAGCAATGAATAGAAAACCCATAATGTTTAGGGGGAACCTAATATTTAGGGTTGAGCAGAGGAAGAGCTTCACAGGGAGAAAATGAAGAACTAAGAGAAAAATTATAGAGATAGAAGGAGATTTAGGAGAGTATGACATCACAGATGCCAGGGGAGGAGAGAATTTCAAGAGAGAGGGAGGATTTAGCTTTGTCCAGTGCTGCTAGAGAGACATAAAAGAGGATAAAGGTTTGAAAATGCTCAATGATGTTACAGTTAGAAGGTTACCAGGGGTTTTGATTAGACCACCCATATGAACTGGTAAGGGTGAATGGCCAGTTTAGTTGGTTGAAGAATAAGTACTTTTTCAATTAGTTTAGATGTGAGAACCAGAATGGAGAAAGTGATGAATAGAGGGGAGTGGGTGTAGAGTTGAGGGAAGGTTTTTCTTTTTTTAACTTTCTTTTAAAAGAAAAAGACTTGGCTTGTGTGTCGTCAGCATATGTATATGCTGAGGGAAAATTGTTTATAAAAGGAGAGATTGGGGTGCCTAGGTGGCTCAGTCAATTAAATGTCTGACTCTTGATCTCAGTTCAGATCTTGATCTCAGGGCTGTCATTTCAAGCCTCGTGTTGGGCTCTACTCTGGGCATGGAGCCTACTTAAAAAGAAAAAAAAGAGGGATTGAAGGGAATGAGAAGAGAGCTGGAGGGCTTATTCTTAGGAAGGACACTTCAGCATTTGAGATTGGATGGAGGGAAGATAAGCAGGGGTATAGATTTATTTATTCTTTTAACAATAGATATTAATGCCTTATAGTCTATTCTAGGCATCACACTAGGTATTGGAAATAGAGTGGTTGCCAAAATAGATAATCATCCTTTTGTAGAAGTTACAGTTTTAGTGTATTAGGTAATAAACAAATATAGGCAATAACCATGGTAATTGTGGGAAATTTTAGAATGAGAAATAAAAGAGATCAGACCATATGTTAATATGTTTAAAATTCTGAAAATAAGTACACTAACAGTCTAGAGGGAAAACAGGCTTACACCAAAAACAGGCTTGTACATACTTGAAAGAAAACTCTAGACATCACACAAGATAGTCCAAGACAATAAACCACTTTGCATGTTTAATGACATGATAACGTAAGGAGCCAGAGATGTAAGTTTTATTTGGGCAGTTGGGTGGTCTGGGAGATGGTGTTCCATCTCCCACACCTCTTGGCATTAGGGCAAGGATTGTATTTTCACTGGGAGATAGAAAGTCCACTTCTTAGGCAGTGCTCATTGAGTGGAGTTGTGATTGTGAGGAATGTGTAAGCCTCTGGCTATAAATGAACTGCTCTTCCTGTTTCTTCCAGTTGCCAGGGACAGGAGAGTCCTCCTGGAGGAAGAAGAAATGACAGTATCTGATAAATACAATCAATTTTTGTGAAGTGAGGGAAAAGAATGGAGTGTCATCACAGGAAATAAGGAAGACCTAATCAAGATTGGGCCAGTCAGAGAATGCACCTGTGAGGAGATGGCCTTTAAGTAGAAATCTGAAGGAGGAGCTGAAGTATGAGAAAGAGTTTAGGGAGAGTGCAGTTTGGCATATTGCAGATATTAGAAGGAAGTCATTGTGATTGGAGTTCAGAGAGCAAGGGGAAGTGAGGCAGAGAAGTGGTTCTGGATGAATGTACAAAATGAGGGTTTTATCCTGAGCACAGTGGGAAGCCACCGATGAGTCTTAACCAGGGGAGCAATGTCATCAAATTAATGTTTTAAAAGACTCCCTTTGGTGATTAATTGGAGAATGAAGTATGTAGGGACAACAGTAGACGAGTGAGTCCTAGGATTAGGCACTCTGGTGGCTTAGATGAAGATGATGAAAGTGGAGACAGAAGTGGATGGTTTTAAGATATGTTTTAGCGGTAACTTGTCAGAACTTGGTAATGAATTGGATATTGGGTGAGAGAGAGGTGAGAGTATGTTAAAGATCATTTGTTTCTGGCTTAAGCAGTTGCTTGGGAGAAGATGGGGAAAAGTGGAGGAGGAACAGATTTGTGGGATAAGATCAAGCATTTATTTGGGTTTGGGCCTGTTAGGTTTAAGATCTTTGTGAGACATGCAAATGATGATGTCAAAGAGTAAGGTGGCCGTAGGGAATCTGGAGCTCAGAACAAAAGCTAGAAGTATTTATTCATCTGTAGATGGTCAGGTGTAGATAGGTTTCAAACCTCTAGCAATGGGTGAGCTCACCTCAGGAGAAAGTATAGCATGGGAGCAAAGGCCTGTGACTGGGGTTTGGGACCCCAACATTTGGAGACTGAGTGGAGAATGAGGAGGGAGCTGCCAGAAAGATAAGGAGAAGGAGAATGGATCACAGAACCCAAGGAAATGGGTGTCCACTGAGATGTTCTTTGTGTGTATGTGATGTCAGTCTTTATTATCATAGCGCTGTGTTGTGAGCCCCGGTTTTCTGGAGCACATCTTCCTTTCTTCTAAGTTATTTGAAAGGAAACTTTAAAGAACTCTGTTGCTGTCATTGGAAATTTTATCCCAAGCCACGAATACCTAGTTTTACATCATTAGGATAACTTTTACCCATTCATTTGCTCATGAATATTTATTATTTTCACAATCATTTATTTTATTGATCTGTGTTTACTTGTATGATCCCTGACCCCTTCTCCCACTCTTTTTCCTAGTCTTGCTAGGTTCCCTCTACATCAAAAACTGTTATTGGCAGCTGTCTTCTTGGTTTGGTTTGGCTTTTTTAGATGGTATTGTTTTGTTTTTAATTATACAAAGTTTCCAGATTTTATTATCATATCAAAGACATAAGATGCCAGCACATAGTGACCAAAAGAAAACCCAGGTAGGAAGCCAGCACATCTGGTTCCAGCAGATCTGGGCCAGATGGGCCAGTGCCGAGTTCTGCCACCACTGTTCATGTCCATTGGCCTAGAGGCAGGGCTGCCTTGGTGGACACCCTCACAGGAGGCCAGTGCCTGAGTCAGGTCCACAGGGGCTCTCTGTTGATAGCCTAGTTGCCCCTGCTTCTAACTCTGACTCTTAGTCTTTCTGTTTGGTCCTTGCTCAACTTTCTCTGGCTGCTGAAGCAGAAGGTATAGATCTGTTTGGGCTGGGCTTTCTTGCTATTGTAGGATGAGGGTGGTGACCCCTGGTGGGGGGCGTGGGTACTGCCTGAGCACGCAGTTTAGAAGAAGCCAGGCCCCAGGTGGTATGGCTGCCCATCACTGCATGCCTCACCTACTAGCAGCACTGGAGACACAGGTTTCAGTGGCGCACAGTGACTGCCGTGGTACCACACGCACCTGTGCTTCCCAGGCTCTGCAGCTGTCTTTTCAGACTAATATATCATTCCCAACCAGTACTTTTTTCTTCAAAATAGGAAAATTCAGAACATGATACCATAGTATGAGCTACTTTGAAAGGACCCAAGTATAAGTCAACTGCTTCTCTGAGGGCTGATTTCAGGGGGATGGAGGGCATACCTTATATTCATGCCTGAAAGGTAAAATTGACAGTGGGCAAGTGAATTTACTGAACCTCAAGGGAGGAAGGGTTTTTACAGAAAGGAAGAGCGTAGTGGTCTGGAAGTGGTGATGAGTAAGGATGATGCTGACCCCAGTCTCTGGCCTGGGGTATGAGAGAGGGAACAGAGTCCACTTAGAGGGCTGTGGGTGGGGCAGGGTAAGATCAGTTTGGGGCAGTGTCATTAGTGCATCACCAGGTTTCAAAAAGGAGATGGATGTTTAGACAAGAAATTGAAGATATGTGGACTTTTTGTTGTTCTTGTCTAGAATTCCAAAGAACATAGTGGAAGGATTTAGGACAGAGAGAGGAGAGCCTGTGAGAGGCATTGGGTCAACTTAACAGATGTTGGGATAAAGAAAGGTGGGGATAAGGGTTTGGAAGGTAATGGATAAATGAATGCTTAGCCTTTGAGCAAGGCCTGAAGTAAATAGTTGGTTAAGTTGATAGACATCTGTGTTTTTTGGAAGGGGGTAAACTTAGGGCTGTTGGTCCCAAAGACTGCAACTTAGCAATTTGGTGACAGGTAAATCAGCTGGTATTCAGATAGGAAGTCTGGATGTTGTACACAAAAGAGATACTGGTTAGCCCTTCAGAAGAACTTTCCAGTAGTAACAGGCCAGCAGAGAACGAGGCACTTGCCAGAAAGATGGTGGCCAAACTTTTCAAGAATTGTCAATACAGGAAATACTCTTTTTTTTTTCCCCTGGGGAAGGAGAGATGATAGTATGGCATAGGAGAAAGATTGAGATGTGAGACCTGGGGTCCAAGTTCAGCTCTGCCACCAATTTAGACTGATATTCAGCAAGCCAGTTATCTTCTCTGACCTTAGCTTTCCCATTTATAAATCTAGGATTAGACTAGTTGGTCCTTAAGGCTATGTGATTTTGGAGGGTATACACTGATTTTATTTGGACTGAAGAAGGAAGGGCATATTTTTCATTGCAGTTTTTTTTCTTCTCATAGGCCAATGTCTTGTTTGGGTCCAGTGCTCCTCCCCAAACTGTGAGAAGTGGAGGCGGCTTTGTGGAAACATTGACCCTTCAGTGCTTCCAGATGATTGGTCTTGTGATCAGAATACAGGTAGAAAGGACTGGAGATTTTTTTTTTCTTTTTATTCTATAATGGTTCTTCCTTTCTTTTTCTGTATGTATCCCTTAGATTAAATATGTCATAAATGTAGTTATAACTCTAGGGGTCCTTGTAGTGTTTGGGAGAGGAAAAGGGACCATCATATCACATCAAGGTAAATCTGGCATAATGGGCTAGAAGAAGACATCCTGAAGAGTTATGTTGTGTGAAGGCCCTGGGATCTAAACATAGATTCTGAGTGAAGTCCACCTTCTTCAGCATTAGTCTGATCCAGTTGGTCCTGATTAGATTGTTGGATAAGAAGGGATATAGGATATTTGAAGAGAAAACAGGTGAGAGAGAGCCTAGAGAATGTTTGAAACCGTTTGGAAGAGATTATGATGGTATAGCCCAACCCAATTATTTTTACAGATAACGGAGTCTCAGAGGAATTGCTGTCCTGGTGTTATGTAGATGGAAGCAGGGTCAGATAATGTGGGATATAGGCAGAAGTTTGGAATCTCTTTCTGTAAAGTACGAGGAGGCAGCACTCCTGCTCTTGCTGTAGCTGTGCTTCCTCCATGGGTCTTTGTTCTTCCTCTATGACTGTCTCCCAGGTGCCCTTTTGGTCCTACCTCTTGCATATTCTTGTCCTCTCTTCTGCCCTCATCCAGATGTTTACCTAGTGAGGTTCTTTTCTTCCCTTCATTCCTTCTCTCTTTTGCCAGACTTGAAGTATAATCACTGTGACGTCCCAGAGGAGTCCTGGACAGGGCGTGAGAGTGATGTGGCCTATGCTTCCTACATTCCAGGATCCATCATCTGGGCCAAGCAATATGGTTACCCCTGGTAGGGCACCATGGTATAGTCAAAGCATCCTTCATGAACTTGGAAGTGGTAGATTAAAGCAGAGAGGGAAGGAAATGGAAAGCATTTATAATGGAAATAGTACCTGCTTTAGAAAGAACATGGGGTGAAGGAAAAGATAAAGTACTGAGCTTGGAGGCTTTGAAAGAACATATTTTCTAGAGGTTTCACAGTAGAGGTGGTATCTCCCTGGGAAAAAAGTTCTGACAATTCTACCCTCTGTGAGTAGAAAAAGGAAGGTGGCTTTTAAGGCATTTTTAAAATATTGAGATATGAGAGATATATGAAGTAGAACGAAGAAGGGTAGGATAGTTTTTTCTTTGGAGATGTCCCTAGTCAGAAGATTTTTTCTCAGGGTTGATGGAAGGCCTACCAGGGGTAAAATATTCTTACTAGGAAGATTTTGAGTTTCTTTGTACACTGATAGAAGTCATTTTAGTCATTTGGTAGGACTACTGGGGCGACGGCAGGGGGACACATCTATATTTGAGATCCTTTGTTTGCAAAACATATTGCCCCTTTCTGTACATGTGTATTGATGACTTTGTATTATGTTCATATAAACCCTTCCTCTTCTGTCCCTTAAACCTGTCTGTCTTCCCCAGGTGGCCAGGCATGGTAGAATCTGATCCTGACCTGGGGGAATATTTTCTTTTTGCTTCTCATCTTGATTCCCTGCCGGTAAGTTTTCCTACATCAGGGTAGGAAGGTGTTCAGGCCAAAGTGGATGAACAAATCCATCCTAACAGGTATGCAGGGTTAGAAACAGATATAGCCAGCAGGTATGAGCAGAAACAGACACTTTTAGCTAGAGTGACAAACACAGAAATAAATACCCACATATAGAAACAAACTTGTATCTAATTAAATATTTAATCATCACTAGGACATTTATAGTTCTGATAAATATGCTTTGGTTAGGATTCCTGAGATCAGGATGGAAGAATAGTGGGCTGAGATGGGGTAGCTGGGTCAGGTTTATGACATCACATGAGGCCCAACACCTCCTTCCCTGTAAATCCTCAGTTCTTTCCCCATCTTTTCTGGCTAGAGGGTCAAAGCAAGGAGAAGGACAAGAGGCCATTTTTTATTTCAGTCTAAATACCATGTGACATTTTTTGGAGAAACAGTCTCTCGTGCTTGGATCCCAGTCAACATGCTAAAGAACTTCCAGGAACTGTCCCTGGAGCTAGCTGGAGTGGTAAGCAATCCTTGGGGGTCAGTTGTAATACAGGGAACCTGAAAACTAAATCTGCCCTTTATCAAACCTGATTTTCTCCCAGGGGAAGCTGTGATGAGAGAAAGTCCCATATCGGACCAAGTGACCAAGGGTGAGGTTATTCATGAGGGAGTCTTCTTTCTCCCAGGATTGCAGTAGGATAATGATTTTTCTTAATCTCTTTCATTGCTTGCAGGTAGAGAGTCTTCCTAAAGACTACAGTTTTCTAAAGTTTAGCAAAGGCAGGTGTGGCAGAAATGAGGGCACATATTAATCAGGTTTTCTCAGTCTTGGTACCATTGACATTCTTTGTTGTGGAAGGCTGTCCTGTGTATTTTAGCATGTTAAGCACAGCATGCCTGGGCTCACCTGACATCTGGCCAGGCCAGGGGGTGCTATTGTCCTTGGTTTCAGTTGTGACAACCAAAAAAATTATCTCTGGACATTGCCAAATACCTTCTGGGAGGCAAAACCTCCCCTGGTTGAGAACCACTGAATGAACTAATAATCACTGCCTATAATCACTTTGGGTTCAACCAGCCTTAGAAATGAGCAGAGACCCAGCAGCTCTGAGACCTTCAAAAATCAGGCTGTATAAAATCAAGCAGCTGTATCTGAAGAAACTTGTGAGAAGCTTAAAAGTGGAATCATCTGACTCCTAAAATCTTGCCTCTCCATATTTCCATGGGATTCACTTTGGTGAGGACATCCAAATGTTGGTTGACAGTATTGCTAGGGGTTGGTAACAGGTTTGTCATGGGGGATAAGAGAGATTATGTCTCTAAACTCAAAAGATTAAGAATGGGAGTATCATATTAATATCAGGAACCAGAAATAAACATAGTTAAAGATCATGTCTGGTGAGTAACTCTATGTTGGAGTCACTTCTTTAATATTTATCATTGATTCTAATCTTCCTCTATTTCAGAAAAAGTGCAGGAACAAGGACTGCAACCAGAAACTGGGGGCAGCTCTGATGATGGCTCAAGAGGCAGAACAGATCAGTATTCAGGTAGGAGAGTGTTCAGGCCACACACCTGCTCCTCTCTGGGACTTTGGACACAAAGAAAAGCATATAGTCTCTACTACAGAAAAGTGGCTTGTCCTTCCCCATCATCCAGTCTTAGTCTTAGAATTAGTCTTTTCTTCCCAGGCCAGATTCCCTTGACTCCTTAAATCATTTATTCTTTTCCCTACCCTTGGACAAATGGGATCTTCTCTCATCCTACATAGAAACAGTTTTTAGCAGGTGGCATCCTACCTCCCAATTTAACTTTAGATGTCAGATGTATGTGTCTTAACCTCTATTTTATGCAGGGTCAGTGTTTACTCTCAAATTCTGCCTTGGGGGGTATGGTAGAGAATGACAAACTGAATTATAAGTAAACTGGAAAAAGATTATAATCTATGGCATCTAATTATAAAACATAAATATATAATATATATAATATAAAGATAATATTATGTATTATAGTTAATCTTCACACAAATTGTGATAAACAGAACATGAAATTTCAAGTAAAAATGGCATGGAATATGAATATAAAGTCCATAACTAAAGTCTTGAAGACAGAAGGCAAAAGTCATCCCTTGGACAGTAGTGGATGATGCTTTTGTTTCTTGGTTCCCTCAGGAACGGGTTAACTTGTTTGGTTTCCGGAGCCGATACAATGGATCTGACAGTAGTGGGGAAGGAAAAGGTAGGATCAGTAGGAAGATGAGGACTAGAGAGGGTGGTAAAACGACATAGAGAGGGAGGTCCTTCCTGAGGGCAGCAATTGAACCTTTATTTTATATTCATTGTTATCTGCATAATTCTGGATTTTCTAATAGGAGGACCTTCATGAATGCCATTGACCAAGTGTCCAGGGTGGATGGATGGATAGATGGATAGATGGATGGAGGAAGAAAGGAATGGAGAGAAAAGGAGGATGGGGAGGGGAGTGTGCATGTTGACAAGTGGTGAGACTTTGGAAAAACTGAAGCCATGTTAATCTAGGGCCATGTTTTATGGAGAAAATGCCACTGGGACATGAAAGGCAGAGTTAGAAGACTGCTTCCCTGGGATCAGTGCCATTAACTCATCATCTAATTTATTGGGTAAATTCTTTAACGTTTCCTTCCAATTCCTTTCTAGACTTAATGCTTTCTAGGGCTAACAGCCCAGACTCCTGCTTAGAGAAAGAAGAGGAAGAGTCAGAGTTGGAGGAGGAGGGGTTGGAGGAGGAAGAAGAAGAGAAAAAAGTAAGATTGATCTTGGGGATTGATCTTGGGGATTGCTTTTAGACATTCCTGTAGGATGTCTGGTTGGCATGGATTTATAACTAGGGAAGCATCCAGGCCTGCCTCAGGGTGGGTCTTATCTCTTAGGGGTCTCCAGGGAAGGAGACTCTCCTCTTTCCTCAGTTATTTTCTCTAGTATCTCACATTTCTAGGAACTTATTTCTTATTATCATCTCAGTTCCTAATGTAGTCTTTGATTCTTACTGTAGTAATTTCAGAGAATAGCAGGTTGCCTCTCTTCACTCTCAGTCCTCCCCTGTGTGGACACTTAACCTTACATGTCTTAATATTCATTCACATGTCTCCTTAGGCTCTTTTCAAGCATATGAAATATAGATTTAAAAACATTTTTTTTAGAGATTTATGTATTTGAGAGAAAGAGAGAGTGTGTGGGAGGGCAGGGAGAGGGAGAGAGAATCCTAAGCTGACTCCACTCTGAGTGTGGAGCCTGATGTGGGGTTTGATCTCATGACCCTGAGATCATGACCTGAGCTGAAACCAAGAGTTGGATGCTTTAACCAACTGAGCCACTCAGGTGCCCCAGCCTGAAATACAATTTAAAAAAAAAACACTTAAAGACTTTTTTAAAGAGTGGTTGTAGGTTCACAGCCAAATGGAGAGAAAAGTAGAGAGTTCCTGTATCCTACCTGTCTCCACACATGCATAGCCTTTCGCATTATCAACACCCACACTGGAGTGCTGTATTTGTTTATAGTTGATGAACCTACATTGGCACATTGTAATTATGTAAAGTCCATTGTTTACATTAGGGTTCATTCTTGGAGTTATATTCTGTGGGTTTGGACAAACAGAACAATATGTATACATCATTATAAGATCATACAAAGTATTCTCACTGCACTAAAAATCCTGTGTGCTCTACCTATTCACCCCCTCCTCAAAACCCCTGACCATCCCTGAGCTTTTTTTTTTTTTAAGATTTTACTTATTTATTTATTTGAGAGACAGTGAGTCTCATTGTGCACATGCACATGAGCAGGAGGAGGGGCAGAGGGAGAAGCAGACTCCCCACTGAGCAGGGAGCCAAACATGGAGCTTGATCCCAGGACTCTGGGATCATGGCCTGAGCTGAAGGCAGATCTTTAACTGACTGAGCCACCCATTTGCCCCAACAAATTCTGATCTTTTTATTGTCTCAATAGTTTTGCCCTCTCCAGAACATCATATAATTGGAATCATGTGGTGTGTACCCTATTCAGACTGGCTTCTAAGAAGTATGCATTTAAGTTTCCTTCATGTCTTTTGTTTGGAATTGCATGGCTTTATAGCTTGTATCTTTTTTCCTCTGAATTTTTCCATTTCCTGGATGTACCAAGTTTATTTATCCATTCGCTTACTGAAGGATATCTTGGTTGCTTTCAAATTTGGACAATTATGAATAAAGCTGCTATGAACAGCTGCATACAGATTTTTGTGAGAACATAAGTTTTCAACTCCTTTGGGTAAATACCAAGGAACTTGATTGCTGGATTTTATGGTAAGAGCATGTTTAGTTTTTAAAAAAATATTTTTATTTATTTATTCATCAGAGACACAGAGAGGGAAGCAGAGACATAGGCAGAGGGAGAAGCAGGCTGCATGCAGGGCACCTGATGTGGGACTTGATCCCAGGACTTCAGGATCACAACCTGAGCCAAAGGCAAGCGCTCAACTGCTGAGCCACCCAGGCTTCCCGAGCATGTTTAATTTTGTAAGAGAATACCAAACTGTCTTCCACAGTGGCTATACCATTTTGCATTCCCATCAGCACTGAATGAGATTTCCTGTTATTCCACATCCTTGCTAGTATTTGGTGTTGTTAATGTTCTGGATTTTAGCCATTCTAATAGGTGTGCAGTGGTATTTTATTGTTGTTTTAATTTGCATTTCTCTGATAACATATGATCTAGAGCATCTTTTCATATTTCTATTGGCCATCTGTATACTTCTTTAGTGATGTGCCCATTAAAGTGTTTGGTCCATTTATTTAATTGGGTTGTTTATTGTCTTCTTTTTGAGTTTTATGAGTTCTTTGTATTTAGGTAACAGTCCTCTGGCTGATCTGTCTTTTACAGGTATTTTCTCCCAGTCTGTGGCTGATTTTCTCATTCTCTTGACATTGTCTTTTGTAGAACGGAAGTTTTTAATTTTAATGAAGTCAGCCTATTAATTGTTCTTTCATGGATCATGCCTTTGGTGTTGTATATAAAAAGTCATTGCCATATTCAAGGTTATCTATGTTTTCTCCTATGTTATCTTCTAGGAGTTTTATCATTTTACTTTTGTAAAATTATAATAAATTCTGAGTTAATTTTTGTGAAGGGTGTAAAGTTTATGTCTAGGTTCATTTTTTGGCATGTGGATGACCAGTTGTTCCAGCATATTTGTTGAAAAGACTGTCATTGCCTTTGCTCTTTTGTCAAAGATCAGCTGACTATTTTTATGTGGGTCTGTTTTTGGGCTCTCTATTCTATCCTATTGACCTACTTGTTCTTTTGCCAATTCCACACTGTCTTGATTACCATAGCTTTATAGTAAGTCTTTTTTTTAAAAAAAAATTTTATTTATTTATGATAGTCACAGAGAGAGAGAGGCAGAGACACAGGCAGAGGGAGAAGCAGGCTCCATGTACCAGGAGCCTGATGTGGGATTCAATCCCGGGTCTCCAGGATCACGCCCTGGGCCAAAGGCAGGCGCCAAACCGCTGCGCCACCCAGGGATCCCTATAGTAAGTCTTAAAGTTGGCTAGGGTCAGTCCTCCAGCTTTGTCCTTCTTCAGTATTGTGTTGGCTATTCTCGATCTTTTGCCTTTCCATGTAACTGTAGAATCAGTTTGTTGATATCTACAAAATAACTTGCTTAGATTTTGTTTGGAACTGCATTGACTGTATCAAGCTGGGAAAAACTAACTGTTGACAATATTAAGTCTTTCTATCCACAAACATGGATTATCTATTTAGTTCTTCGATTTTATTCAACAGAGTTTTTGTAGTTTTACTCATATAGATCTTATAGATATTTTGTTATATTTATATGTAAGTATTTAAATGTTATGATGCTACTCTAAATGATACTGTGCTTTAAATACCAAATTCCACTTGTTCATTGCTGGTGTATAAGAAAGTGATTGGCTTTTACATATGAACCTGTATCCTGCAACTTTGCTATAAATGTTTATTAGTTGTGGACTTTTTGTTGATTCTCTTGGATTTTTTATATAGATGATTATGTTATCTACAAAGACAGTTTTACAGTTGACCCTTGAATGGGTTTGAACTATGTGAGTCCACGTATATGTGGATTTTTCCCCCATAAATTTAGTGCAGTACTGTAAATATATTTTCTCTTTCTTATGATTTTAATATTTTCTTTTCTCTACTTTTATTGTAAGAATACAGTATATAATGCATATAATGTATAAAATACACGTGAATCATCTGTGTTATTGGTAAGGTTTCCAGTCAACAGTAGGCTATTAGTAGTTCAATTTTGAGGAAGTCAAAAGTAATACACAGATTTTCCACTGTGTGAGGGGTCAGCACCCCTAACTCCAGCAATGTTTAAGGGTCTGTATTTATTTCTTCCTCCTATCTATACCTTTATTTCTTTTTGTCTTACTGCATTACCTAGAACTTCCAATATGATGTTGAAAAGGAGTGATAAGAGGGGATATCCTTGCCTTGTTCCTGATCTTAGGGGAAAGGCTTCTAGTTTCTCAGCATTAAGTATGATATTAGTATAAGTTGTTTGTAAATGTTCTTTGTCAAGTTGAGGAGGTTACTTTCTATTCCTACTTTACTTAAACTTTTGACTGTGAACAGGAATTTGATTGTTTGTCAAGTGCTTTTTCTATATCTATTTTTATGATCATGTGATTTTTCTTTTTTAGGCCATTGATGTGATAGATTATATTAGTTATTATTTTCAAATGCCAAACTGATCTTGTATGCCTTGAATAAATCCCACCTGGTCATGGTGTATAATTCTGTTTATGCATTGTTGGATTTAATTTACTAATATTTTGTTGAGGACTTTTGCATCTCTTTTCATAAGAGATATTGATCTGTAGTTTTCTTGTAATATCTTTGTCTGATTTTAGTATTCAGGTAATGGTGGTCTCAGAATGAGTTAGAAAGTATTCTCTCTGCTTCTTTTCTCTGAAAGAGATTATGGAGAATAGGTATAACTTCTTCCCTAAATGTTTGGTAGAATTCACCAGTGAACCCATGGACCTGGTGCTTTCTGTCTTGGAATGTTGGCTGTTACTGATTCAACTTCATTAATAGATATAGATCTATTCAGATTGTGTGAGTTTAGATGGGTTATATCTTTTAAGGAATTGGTCTATTTCCTCTTGGTTAACAAATTTGTTTGCATAGAATTATTCATAATATTCCTTTATTATCCTTTTAATGTTCATGGACTCTGTAGTATATTTTCTGATATTAGTAATTTGTTTCCTCCCTCTGTTTTCTTAGCTTGGCTAAAGGCTTATCAATTTATTGATCTTTTCAAAGAACTAGTTTTTTTGTTCCATCGATTTTTATCTACTAATTACCTGTTCTCATAATCTCATCAATTTCTGTTCCAATTCTTTTTTTTTTAAGATTTTTTTTAAAATTTTTATTTACTTATGATAGTCACACACAGAGAGAGAGGCAGAGACATAGGCAGAGGGAGAAGCAGGCTCCATGCACTGGGAGCCTGACGTGGGATTTGATCCCAGGTCTCCAGGATTGCGCCCTGGGCCAAAGGCAGGCGCTAAACCGCTGCACCACCCAGGGATCCCTCTGTTCCAATTCTTATTATTTATTTTCTTCAGCTCACTTTGGATTTAACTCGCTCTTCTTTTTCTAGTTTCCCAAGGTTGAAACTTAGACTATTGATTTTAATTCTTTCTTCTTTTCTAATATATGTGCTGATTTTAGGTCTTTCTTCTTCTCTAATATATGTGTTCAGTGCTAAATTTCCCTCTAAATACTGCTTTTCCTGTATCCCTATATTGTGTTTTCCTTTTCATTTAGTTCATATTTTAAATTTCTTTTAGCTCAATATTTAAAAATTTCTCTTGAGATTTCTTCTTTGACCCTTGGGTTATTTAGAAGCGTGTTATTTAATCTCGATGTATTTGGGGACTTTTTTGGTTATCTTTCTGTTACTGATTTCTAGTTTAACTCCATTGTGGTGTGGGAGCAAATGCTGTATGATTTCTATTCTTTTAAATATGTTAAGTTTTGTTTTATAGCTTAGAATGTGATCAGTCTTGGTGAATGCTTGATATGGGCTTGAGACGAATATGTATTCTGCTGTTGTTGAATACAATGAAGTAATTTGTAGATGTCACTTATATCCATTGACTGATGATATTATTGAATTCAACTATGTTCTTCCTGATATTCTACCTGTATCCATGGAAATATCCATTTTTGATAGAATGGTGTTGAAGTCTCCAACTATGATAGTGGATTCAGCTATTTCTTTTTGCAGTTCTTCCATTTTTTTGCCTTAGGTAGTTTGGTGCTCTGTTTTTAGGCTCACTTTAAGGATTGTATGTGTTCTTGGATTGATCCCTTTATCATTACATAGTGCTGTTCCTTATCCCTGATAACTTCCCTTGCCTTGAAGTCTGCTGTGTTTGAAATGAACATAGCTACTCCTGTTTTCTTTTGATTGATGTTAGCATGGTGTATTTTTCTATTTACTTTTATAATATATATATATATCTTTATGTTTAAAGTAGACTTCTTGTAGACAACATGTAGTTTGGTCTTGTTTTTTAATCCCACTCTAACAATCTGTGTCTTATAATTGGTGCATTTAGGCCATTATAAATAGTTATAATAACTATAATAACTACTATAAAAAGTAGTTATTAATATAGTTGGGTTAATATCTACAATATTTGTTACTGTTTTCTATTTGTTGCCCTTGTTATTTCTTCCTATTTTTGTTTTCTACTCTTTTTATGCCCTAAATGTTCTTTTTAAAATATTTTAAGTAATCTCTACCCAATATGGGGCTCAAACTTACAACCCTGAGATCAAGAGTCTTATGTTCTACCAATGAGCCAGGCAGGCACCCCTCAAGTGGTTTTCTGTTTTGTTTTTAGTGAGAGAGAAAGCATGTGTGTAGGGAGGGGCAGAGGGAGAGGGAGAGAGGATCTTAAGCAGGTTGCATATTCGGAGTGGAGCCAGACTTGGGGCTTGGTCTCACAACCTTGAGATCATGACCCGGGCCAAAGCCAAGAATTGAATGCTTAACCAACTGAACCACCCAGGTGCCCTCCCCACTCTGCAACTGTTTTTAACTGAGCATTTTATATTTTATTTACACAGTTTTTAACTGAACTATCTTCTCCCCTTCCTTAGCATTTCTGGTAAGGTGTTCTTTTCCTTTGGCCTCTTCCAGGATTTTTTCTTTTTTTTTCCTTTTTAAATTTTTTTTTTTTTTTTTTTATTTATGACAGTCACAGAGAGAGAGAGAGGCAGAGACACAGGCAGAGGGAGAAGCAGGCTCCATGCACCGGGAGCCTGACGTGGGATTCGATCCCGGGTCTCCAGGATCGCGCCCTGGGCCAAAGACCGGCGCTAAACCACTGCGCCACCCAGGGATCCCCTTTTTTTCCTTTTTAAAAAAGGTTATTAAATTCCAGGTAGTTAACATACAGTATATATTAATTTCAAATGTATAATCTAGTGACTCAGCACTTCCATACATCATCCGATGCTCATCACAACAAGTGCACTCCTTAATTCTCAGGGCTTTTTGATTTTCTGTAGCTCAAAAATATCTTTTAAGGAATTGCCTTATTTGGAAATTACATGTGGTTATTTGGAATTTATCCTTTTTGGTGTGCTCTGAGCTTCCTAAATCTGTGGTTTGGTATCTGACATGAATTTGAAAAACTTCTCAGTCATTATTATTTTCAGTATTTCTTGGGTTTCTTTTTTCCTTCTCCTTCTGGTATTCCCATTGTGCATATGTTACACATTTTATAGTTGTTCCATAGTTCTTGGATATATTGCTCTTTTTTTTTCCTTTGGTCTTTGTTACCTTTGCTTTTCAGCTTAAAGGTTTATGTTGAGATATCCTCATGCTCAGAGATTCTTTCCTCATCTGTGTTTAGTTTACTAATAAGCCCATCAAAGCATTTTCTTCATTTCTATTACTGTGTTTTTGATCTGTAGCACTTCCTTTTGATTCTTAGGATTTTCATCCTTTTGCTTACATTGCCTGTCTGTTTTTGCATGTCACTTTATCCATTATAGCCCTTTGCATATTAATCATATTTGATTTCAGTTTCCAGTCTAACTCCATGCCATGTTTGGTTTTGATATTTGTTCAGATTGTGTTTTTTGCCTTTTGATATGCCTTGTGGTTTTTTTCTTGATTGCCAGACACAGTGTATCAGGTAAAATTGAAATTTTGCCTTTATTTGCCTTTTATTGTTGAAATTATGCCTTTATTTTTATTTTTTTAAGATTTACTTATTTATTTTGGGGTGGGGAGAAGGAGAGAGAACATGAGTGGGGGGAGGGGCAGGGGAAGAGAGAGAGAATCTTAAGCAGACTCCTCACTGAGCATGAAGCCTGACTTGGGCTTGATCCCACAACCCTGAATCATGACCTGAGCTGAAATTAAGAGTCAGACACTGAACCAACTGAGCCATCCAGATGCCGATTTCTGAATTTGCCTTTAGTAATGTGGTGGTAAGGGCTAGGGAAGGGTATGTGTTCTCTAGTTCTACTATTAGGTCTCATGTCTGTTTTCTTTTAAAATTTTTTTTTTACTTATTTAAGTAATCTCTATACCCAACATGGGGCTCAAACTCACAACCCTGAGATCAAGAGATATACCCTCTTCTGACTGAACCAGCCAGGTAATCCTATATCTCATGTCTTTGATGAATAGCCTACTCCAGACTGTGAACTTCTCAGTGTTTCTTAGTGTTTTCTCCACCTATTAGGTGGGACAAGATGGCTAGAATGGGCTGGGGTTAAATATTTCTCTTCCCTCAGGATAGTCAGGCTCTGAATATCCCAGTAGATTAGGCTCTGGTTAACTAGTTTCTTTTGAGAGCAGGCCTTTTTCAGGACAGAGTGCTCTGGTATATTTCAAAATGGTTCCTTTGCCCTCCTCCTGATGGAAACATGGAGATTTTTCTCTGATACTTACTGTGAGAACATGAGCAGAGGTTTGAGGCCTCCTGGAGGTCAAGCTCACAAAAGTCTGGGAGCTCCTATAAGACTGGGCACCACTGGAGTTTTTAACTCTTAGACGTGTCTGCACTGAACAATTTAGTACTGTTGAAGTTTTCCTGCCCTGGAATTGGTTCTTGTGAGACCTGCTGGTTCTTCTGCTTGTGAGTCTGTGCTCCGGTAAGCTATGACTCCCTGTATTTGCTTCTCTGCCCCTTCAGTTTTGAGGACAGTAGATTGATGGCCCTGTGTCCTCACCTCTTATATCAATACAAAAAGAGTTGTTCATTTTTTGGTATGTTCAGTTTTTTTGTTTGTTGTTAGAATAGTGTAGTGACTTCCAAATCTCTTAAAAATAGAACCAGAAACTGAAAGTCCTGAAATATAGATTTTTAAACTTTTTCTTTTAATTATTTTTTATTGAGGCAAAATTGGTCTATAACATTATATAAGTTTCAGGTATATAGGATGAAGTGATCAACACTAAGAGTCTAGTTATTGGTTTGGTTTTTAATTTACCAGTTTTTATCATGTTCATGGCCTAACTTTATTTCCTTCTCTTGTACATAGAGCCTTCTACTGACTAATACCAAACAGGATGAAAAAGATGGACAGTTTCATCTTTGTTGTTATTGATTTAAACAGTATCAGGCTTATGGAACCCAGTTTGACTCCCTAACTCCACTTATCATTTCTGTAGCATCCCACCCTATTAAAAACACAATTATGTGACTTCATTTATATTTTTTTATTTTTCTCTCCCATTCTCAGGACCCGACTTTGCCCAGTCCCAAGCCAGCCAGAATTCAGACAAAAAAACCCAAGGCAAGAGGTAAGCAAGCCAGCTGGGAACAGGTATGTGCTACCATTCTGCAGGGCAGAAGCAGACAGTGGGTGGGGTCTACAGGTCACTGGATCTTACTGGCTATCTCAGCTCTAAAATATTTAAAAATGGTTAAGGTTCCTACTAGTGTCATCAGGGAAGCAATAGCCTGCTCACTTCTGTGTTCTGGTTATAAAATCTTAGATTAAAGGTGGAATGAATATCTTAAATTCTTAGCTAAGAAAGATGACTTCCTGGAGAAGACAGGCTATGAGGAAAAATATAATCAGAAGAAGATCCAGGAGAGGGAGTGAAATATTTGGGAAAAGAGAAGGAAGAAACCGAGAGAACTCACTAGATTGAGGATGAGCAGAGGATGTAGGGCAGAGACTAACTGTGGGGAATCCATGGACCTTTGCTGAGCTGTCATTTAGAGAAATAAACAAATGTTCTACATATGGGGGGGTGGGGATGATACAGGCCTAGCAGATGGACAAGATGGGACCCTGCAAAGGAAGACACTGAAGAGATCTCTGGGAAATGAATCTGCAGCTCCTCCTGTACTCATAATGGGAAGGAGAGAAGGAGGACATGGGAAATCAGAGCCTGACCAACCAGGTAAGGCAAAACTATGCGAAATGAGGCTTAAGCCTGTATCTCCCTTCCCTGGATCATTTCTTAACTTTAAAGCTTCTCATTCTTTTTAAAAAGAACAAAAATTAGGCATCTCAGATTGTAGAGTGTAGCACACACTATAAGAACATAATGGTTTTTTATTTGATTTGATCCAAGGACAGGAGAATGGTGAGGAACAGGGAACTGACATCTAATGAGTATTACTATGGGGGATCCCTGGGTGGCTCAGCAGTTTAGTGCCTGCCTTCGGTCCAGGGTGTGATCCTGGAATCCCGGGATCAAGTCCCACATCAGGCTCCCTGCATGGAGCCTGCTTCTCCCTCTGCCTGTGTCTCTGCCTCTCTCTCTCAGCCTGTGTCTCTCATGAATAAATAAATAAAATATTAAAAAAAATAATGAGTATTACTATGGGATGGCTAGATAGAGCCTCCTTGCTGGTTCCCTTTAATTCTTTTAATATCTCTATGACTGGACATTTGCCATTTTAGAGATAAGGGGACTAAGGGTCAAAGGGTTTAAAATTTGCTCAAGACCCATGACTAGCATATGGCTATCCATGGCTTGGATCCAGGTCTTTCTAACTCCGAAGCCTATTTTATTTCTATTGAGGAAAATCATCTTCCCCAGAGATGTTTTTGGAAATGGGAATTTAGGAGTTTAACTAGTAAAAGGTAAGGCCAGATGGCCTATTAGGACTCTCCATTATATCACTTTTTCATGCAGGTCCTAAGAAAAAATTTAGAGCTCCCCAAAGCAAAGACTCAGTAATCAGCTTGTCTGAGGACAAAGAAGCTAGGATGGCACCAAAGGGCCTGATCCCACCAGCTCATCTCGGGGTTTGTCCTGTGATGGGGGCAGAAGGCTGGAAGTGTCTTCAGGAAGCTGGAAGTGTCCCTCCTGACGATGAAGCCTTCAGTGACCTGGATCTGGAGCAAATCCTGGAAGATGTTGGAAAAGAGCCAGAGCAGCTGGAGGAGCCACAGTGTGGAGACGACCCCAGGGAGTTCACTTTGGCCTTCTTCGAGGAATAGCTTAGCTGTGTGCTCCTGCCTCCCTGCTGCTCTCTCACCCCCTTCCCTGTGAGCAGCAGAGAAAGCCCCTCGGAGGGTCCCTGAGAAGCTGCTACATGTGGGGTTTGTTGATCGGCCACAGTCACAGCTGTGTGGGTTTATGTGTTAATAAACAGGTTACTGCTTTAAGTAGTTTGTCTCTAACTACATGCTCTCCTTTGGCTTCCCTCCCTCTGCTCCGCTCCCTGTGGCGCATCCCTGTTTCTGTGGGAGGCCTGCACAGTATAGGAATCTGGGAAGGCAGGGACACCCGAGTTCTGGGAGGAGGCTGTCAAGATGGGCAGGTCTGGGTTCAGACCCGGGCTCAGCCTTAATAGGTGTGTGGCTTTGAGAAAAGCACTAACTTATAAATCTCTTCACGCCTCAGGTGATTGTGACCAGTCCAGGGTCAGGTGGTTGGAGATGCTTAAATGAGGTGGTGCACTTCACACGGTACATGCTGGTTCTGATGGTAGGGGAAGTAGAATGGGTAGATGGGGGAGCAGACCCTGGCTTCTGGCTGGCTACTAGCATTTGGGGTTTATTGTTCCCTGCCTGGAGGCAGTCACGGAACTCCAGTGCTGGAGGAGGGATCTGGGGTGGGAGCTGTTTATTATAGTTCATTTTTGGCAAGAGGCAAAAGACAGAAGTTGAAGGTGCTATCAGTTTTTTCCTTAGATGCTTTTGGGCAAATTCAACAGGTACTTTTATTCTTGTGGGCAGGGCTGGGAAGGTGGAGAGGGCACTGGAGCAGATGGCTCTGTTTCTCTGCAGTCCTTGGTGGCCTTCCACACCCCCTGACTTCTGAGTCTTCTGTGTCTGGCCAGAGTTGTTATCAGAAGCTGTGACCCGCTCTGCAGCTTAGTCTAAGGAGGTCATCCTTCAATCCCACCCATTAGGCCTTTAGGATAGAGTATAGGGTCTCCTCCTGGGGGCTCTTCTTGGGAAGGGTGGGATGTGCTGCTGGTGAGGAGGAACTGGAGAGGGAGGCATAGAGGATGCCACCGTTATCCTGGGCTTCATCCTGGTGGAGAAGGCAGAAGGGGGTGAGACAGTGGAAGGGAAGCTGCCCCCACCTTAGGGAGTAATCCCACACCTAGGTGCTCCACACCTAAGTGACCACAGTCCCTCTCTTCCCTCCATCCCACCTTCTCCAAACTTCTCTTTGATTCCTTAAAGCTCTAGCTTGAGCTGCTTACCTTGGGGTCCAGCTTGGGGTCTGTTTGTTGTCCTAGAAAAAAACCAAGATGTGTGTGTGGGGGGGTGTCAGGTGGGATGCTGGCCAGGGTAGAGAAATGGGCAGAGGCCTCCAGCAGTGAGGTCATCTGCTGAGTCAGGACCAGGGTCAGGCAGGAGGGATGGGTGGGGCACGTGTTTGAGCAGGGAGTGTATGGGAAAGGACAGGCCAAGATGGACAGCAGGGAGTGACAGTGTTAAGAACTTACTTTTTAAAAAAATATTTTATTTATTCATGAGAGACAGAGAAAGAAGCAGAGACACAGGCAGAGGGAGAAGAGGGCTTCTTTCACGGAGCCCAATGTGGGACTTGATTCCAGGACCCTGGGATCATGCCCTGAGCGAAAGGTAGATGCTCATACGCTGAGCCACCCAGGTGTCCCAAGAACTTACTTTTAATCCCAATGTTCTCATACTTCTCCTCAGTATTTTGGAGGGATCCCCTGTATAGGAAGAAGGTGGGAAGTGTGTTAGAGGCTGTGCAGAAGAGAGTTCAAACCTTTGTGGGGCTGGTTCTCTGTGTGGGGCCTCTGTGACCCCCTGACAGTTTCAGATGAGCTATGGTTTGAGACTCTCAGGATGTCTCCTGGAAGGTTGAGAGTCAGTTTGCAGTGTAGCCAGTAGAGATATCGAGGGCCCATTGAAAGCAGATGGTCCTGGAAAAGCAGCCTTCTTGGAAGAGCCATGGAAAGGGTGAAGTCCTGTCTGCTGCATGGTATTGGTACAGACTGGAGAATGAACACCAGCTCCACCAATCTCAGGTCTTCTCGTGGGTTCCCAGGTGAGAAGGGGGGGGGGAGTTGGAGAGAAAGAAACAAGTTGAGAAGATGGACTGGAAAGAAGGGGAGGTGGGAAGGTAAAGAGGAAGAAACCTCCAGAGAGAGAGAGGGAGGGAGGGAGGGAGGCCAGGAGCTAAGGAGGGAAGTGGCTCTGAAAAAGCCGCACACTGGATATTTGCAAATGACGTATCAGATAAAGGGCTAGTTTCGAAGATCTATAAAGAACTTATTAAACTCAACAGCAAAGAAACAAACAATCCAATCATGAAATGGGCAAAAGACATGAAGAGAAATCTCACAGAGGAAGACACAGACATGGCCAACACGCACATGAGGAAATGTTCCGCATCACTTGCCATCAGGGAAATACAAACCAAAACAACAATGAGATACCACCTCACACCAGTGAGAATGGGGAAAATTAACAAAGCAGGAAACCACAAATGTTGGAGAGGATGTGGAGAAAGGGGAACCCTCCTGCACTGTTGGTGGGAATGTGAACTGGTGCAGCCACCCTGGAAAATTGTGTGGAGGTTCCTCAAAGAGTTAAAAATAGACCTGCCCTATGACCCAGCAATTGCACTGTTGGGGATTTACCCCAAAGATACAGATTCAATGAAACGCCGGGACACCTGCACCCCAATGTTTATAGCAGCAATGTCCACAATAGCCAAACTGTGGAAGGAGCCTCGGTGTCCATCAAAAGATGAATGGATAAAGAAGATGTGGTTTATGTATACAATGGAATATTCCTCAGCCATTAGAAACGACAAATACCCACCATTTGCTTCGACGTGGATGGAACTGGAGGGTATTATGCTGAGTGAAGTAAGTCAATTGAGAAGGACAAACATTATATGGTCTCATTCATTTGGGGAATGTAAAAAATAGTGAAAGGGAATAAAGGGGAAGGGAGAAAAAATGAGTGGGAAATATCAGAAAGGGAGACGGAACATGAAAGACTCCTAACTCTGGGAAATGAACTAGGGGTGGTGGAAGGGGAGGTAGGCGGGGGGGTGGGGGTGACTGGGTGACAGGCACTGAGGTGTGGGCACTTGACGGCATGATCACTGGGTGTTATTCTATATGTTGGCAAATTGAACACCAATAAAAAATAAATTTATATAAAAAATAAAGTATATGTAAAAAAAAAAAAAAAGACGCCCACTGGGAAAGGAGGAGGAGAGCAGTGACAGGTGCCCTGTGCTTTTCCCATGAGGAACTTCCTGTTTCCCAAGCAGGACAAGCTCTCACCTGGCTACGGTTCTGGCTGTAGTCTGTAGACCTGTAGAGGAACAGCAGCGTGTCAGGGTGCCATCCATGGAGGGCGTCTCTCCTCCCTGCCTTCCTGCTCTGTGTGCTCTGAGACCAACCCCTAGACCAACCCCGAGAGAGACCAGGGCAGTGGAGCAGCTCTGTTGGACCCACCTGGGACTCAGAGTGACACCTGCTGGCACCCTGAGGCTGCTCAACCCTGTCCTCTGGTGTCCTCAACACCAAATCAGGAGAACAGCTCTTGCCTGCACCTATTTTCTCTCTGTCTCTGTCTGCCTGTCTGTCTTTCTCTTTGTTGACTTTTCCCTTTGCTTCCTTCCCCCTTCCTTGACTTCCCCAAGCATCCCTCAACCTTGCTCCTTCCACTGCTGAGGCCCTGCCCACCGATCCCTCTCCTTCCACCCTTGTCTCAGACTCACTGAACCCTCCTGCCCTGACACACTGGCTTTTTGTGATTTCCTGAGCGGCAGCTGTTTCTCTCCTGCTTTGTGAACCTCATGGCTGGGACCTGGGTCTGCACCGTAGCCTGTTCCTCCCCACCCTCCCCCACTGAATCCCACCAGTCTCCCCACTGCCCTCTCCCCTCTTCATCCTCCTGTGTCTCTCTGCAGCATTTCCCAAGGACTGGCCCCTGGTTCACAGACATCCCCTCCACCACCCACCACCATCCCAGGAGGTCCTATCATCCACGGAGACAACCCTCTGAACACATGGGACTCTATGTCCCCCAAACTCCAGGGACTTCCACTCTGCCATACCCTGTTTTTTTTTTTTTTTTTTTTTAACCTCTGGGACTGAGAACTCTGAAAGATTAAATGCCAGCATCATCTTTATGCTACAACTTTGTTTCCTTCCAGCTTTTTCTTACCATCATCCTGCTTGCTATACCTGTGCTTTGACTCCCTGCCCCTGAACTCTTGCCCCTTAATAAGCCACTTTCTTTCAGACTATCCAAGCTCCCTGCTGACTCTCTACTGTCCACTTCTGCCCTCTTACTAGCTCCTTGACCTTCCATGTTCCCCTGTCCTTAGGCCACACTTAGCTGACACATCTCTAATTCTGGATGTGGCCTATGGCAGGGAATGCCATTTGCTTACCCAATATCCATTCATTTCTTCTTCCTTAGTTAGAGAACCTTGACTTTGTTTTGGGTGGCAGTGTGCTCCCCTGCTGATAGATGTGGACATCTGATGACATCCTAGCCAATAGGATTCAAGGGGAAGTAGTGGGTAGGATTTTCAGGAAGATTCTTTAAAAGGAAGACAGACAGATGCAGCATGGTTTTTTGTCTCTTCTTCCTCCCTCCTGTTTCCTGCCTGGATTCAGAAATAATGGCTGGAGTCTGAGCAGCCATCTTGGACCAGGAGGCAACCTTCAGGATAGAAGCCAGTAGTCAGGGCAGTGAGGAGGATGATAGAAGCTGGAGTGCCTGAGGACAATGGCCTCTGCTGTCTGCCTCCTCATCCTTTTATATGAGGGGAAACAAGAAACTCTGTCTTGTTCAAGCTCTGTTACTTTTAGCCTCTGACACCAGCAGGTGAACATAACTTCTAACCAACAGATTCTAGAAGTTTCTAAAGCTGCATGGTTGAATACTGCTGGGGGAAATATGATCCTGTGCAGCGATGCTTTTACAGAGTTCTTAAATTCCACCTTCCATTTCCTCAGTGACTATCACATCTCTTCAACTCTGACTCTCATCCTCACTCTAGAGACAACCACTGTGATTTTTCCTCTGTGGAATGAAAAACTATTTGTATAGTATTGAGTTTATCAATATTTTTATTCATGGCTTTCAGGTTTTATGTCATACTTAGGGAGGTCATGTCCACTTCATGGTTATAAGATGGTCTCACATGCTTTCTTCTAGTACTGGGATTATTTTCCCCCTTCATTTAACTCTTTGATTGATCTCCATGGAATTTATTTTGGTGCAAATTTTGAGATAACATTAGTCCTTATTCTGTGCCAGGATCTATTCTCAATGTATTACATTTAATTGTCATGACAAACCCTAGAGTAAGTACTATTATTATTCTCATTTTAGAATGAGATGAGTGAGCTGAGGCACAGAGTCATACTACAATGGCACCAGAGTTTACTCTGCCAGGATTTGCCTGCAGGCAGTCCAGATTCTATGCTCTTCACCTCTGTGCTTTAATATCTGTTAGGGCTAATCTCCTCTCATTGAAAATTTTCTTGGAGGAATTTCAGATCGTTACTGGAGGGTGTTGGGGTGTGACTAATTAATGCGTCTAGCCCTGTCCTCTGTTTTAGCTATAGATGCATATATCCAAATTTCTGATGAACATGTCTAGTCAGGTGCCACACAGGCAACTCTAACCTATCCCAAACTAAAGAACCATCATTCTCCCCCAAACATGGCCTTTGACCTCCTGTGTTCTCTAATTTGCTTGATGGTTTCACCGTGGACTCATTCACCCAAGTTCTTCCCACTCCCTCAGCTCTATACCAGTCTAATCACCAAGTCTTACTGGTTTTCCCTTTTTGGCTGTTCCAGGGTCTGGCTCTCTCCCTCCATCCACTGCATTAGACTGGCCCCACCTGCCCACCTCCCGCCCCTGCACCGCAGACTGATGTGTCTGCAAGGTAAAGCTGAGATTGCCATTTCCCTGCTTCTTGTTGCCTCTGGAATCAGAAGCTCCTGGGTGTGACTTACAAGGTTCTCTTCTCCTATCTCCAGCCTCCACAGCACTGAGCTACTTATAGTTCCCACACCGATTTCCTGTGCCTGCATAGTCAGTGACCTCTTCACCACACTCACCATCTGCCTGGGTAATTCTCTTATATTCTTTGAGACTTTTGCAGGGTCACTTCCTATGGGAAGTCCTCCATGATTTCCCTCCTTCCATTTTACCACAGCTCTTTCCATATGAGGCAGTCACTCCCTCCACCACGGAGTTCCTTGAAAGCAGGACCTATGCTTTATTTACATTTGTAATCTCCTAATTACAGGCCAGACCTTGGGAAATAGGCCCTCAACCAGTGCTTGCTGAGCTGAGCCAACTTCCTGTCCCTCTGTTCTTTCCTTACTCTTCCCAGAAACCTTCTCCTCCCCATGAACCAAAAGGTAAGGATTGCTGAGAAATTATTAATTCAAGCCACAAAAACTAGAAAATGATCAGATTTGTGGAGAGAGATTGGTTTGGAGCAATGGTTCTCAAAGTTGGTCACATACAGACAACACTTGATGAGATCTTTAAAAATGTAGATTCCCAAGCCCAGACCTCAAGGCCAGCTGGGATTTGCATTTTTAAATGCAGAACGCCCTGGGGTCATTCTGATGCTGCTGGTTCTGAGAAAGAGTTGGGAAGCTTGAGGAGGGGGTGCTGGTGGCCCAGAACCACTTACCTTTGCTTCTCTTCCACCTGAGGTAGAGGATCAGTCCCAAAATTACAATTATGAGCACAGCACCAGCCCCAACAGCAGCTCCCACACTCAGGGGTAAAGATGCTGAGCTCCTATTCCCCTCCAAGACACTGAGTCCAGTGGTGGTAGTGGTGGCCGTGGTGGTGGCAGTGCTTGTGGGGCCCTCGGTGGTTGTCTTGGGAGCTGAGAAGACACACGAATTTAGCAGATTCTCCCCTATAGGACTGGAGGTTTTGGATGAAACTGTCATATTGTGTTCCCAGTTTGGGGAATACTGAGGATGTGGAGCAACTCTCTGAAGCTCTCACACAGGGAGGGGGTAATGAATCCACATCACCCAACTTAATCCTGACTCTACCTCTGATTAAGTGGTGTGACCTCAGAACCTCATTTCATTGCCAACAAATAGGGATCACTAAATCACAGGATTATAAAAAACATTTTTCATTGTGGTAAACTATAGGTAACACAAAATGTACTGTTTTAACCACATTTAAGTATATATATTCAGTGGCATTAAGTATATTCAGATTGTTGTGCAAGCATCACCAGTATCCTTATCCAGAACTTTTTCATTTTCTCAGACTGAAACTCTGTCCCCATTAAACAGTCACTATGCACCTCCTCCCCTAGCCCTTGGCACTTACTGGTCTGTTTTCTGTCTTTATGAATTTGACTGCTCTAAGAACCTCTTATAAGTGGAACCAAATGGTATTTGTCATTTCTGGGTTGTTTTAATAAGTGAGAAAACATCTGTGGAGCACCTAGTATTTATTAGAAATATGTTTTTAAGATTAAATTAATATATATTGAACTTTACTTACTACAAAAAGATTTTACCATTATAGATATTTAATGCACTGATAGAATACAAAGCCACAGGAAAAAAATCAACTATAATAAAATCTTTGGGTTAGGGTGGACCAAATTTTGTCGACCCTCATTAGAAAGGAATAATAACATTTTTTAATTGAGATAAAAATATTAAAGCCTTAAAGAAATGTCTATAACATGTTATTTAGAGAAATAAAAACCAGAGGAACACATATTTTTATTAAAACATCCTAGAATATGACCAAAGCCACATTCTAAGCCAAGTTCATAGTATTAAGTGCTTTTATTATTTCAAACAAGAAGAAATTTGTAAAATGAACTGAATATCCAATTCCTTAGAAAAAGTATCCAAACCAGAAAGAAGCCAGCCCTAAAAAAACCTCAGAAGATAAATGTAATGAAACCTACATAGGAATAAATTTATCAGGAAACAAGACAACAGAAATAAATGCAGGAAGTGGTTATTTAGGGGAAAAACACAAAAAAAACAAGAAACAAACAAGAAAAGAGACAAGACTCTTGCAAACCTAACAAGAGTCTCTTGAAATCATTTGTGAGTATATGCTCAATTATAGATTGATAAATTTTAAAGACTCTGAATTGGATGATTTTCTGAAGTAAATATTTTTGAAAATGGAGTTAAGAAGTAGTAACACTTTCAGTGATAGGTAAACAAAAAAGTAAGAACTCTAGGGGTACCTGGCTAGGTCAATCAAATAGCATGAGATTCTTGATTTTGGGGTCATGAGTTTGAGCCCCACATCTAGAGTAGATTCTGCTAAAAATTAACTTGAAAAAAAAGTGAGAATCCTATTAAAGAACTACCTATCAATAAGGATTCCAAGCTCAGGAGGTATTATGGGTAAATTATTGTGAAAATTTAAGGAACGATTAATTCCCAGATATATATATATATATATATATTTTTTTTTATTTAATTTTTATTTATTTATGATAGTCACAGAGAGAGAGAGAGAGAGAGAGAGGCGCAGAGACACAGGCAGAGGGAGAAGCAGGCTCCATGCACCGGGAGCCCGATGTGGGATTCGATCCTGGGTCTCCAGGATCGCGCCCTGGGCCAAAGGCAGGCGCCAAACCGCTGCGCCACCCAGGGATCCCAATTCCCAGATATATTCTAGAACACAGAGAAATATGGAAAATGATGCAATTCTAATTCATTTCATAAAATGATGACATAATCCTGATGCTAATAACCGTTCATATCTTTTTTTTTTAATGCAAGTTGAAATGACAAAAGCCAGTGTTTTTTACTGATCTGAGTGGAGGAACATACCCAGTATTGGCGTGGCACAATGCAAGGGTAAATTGGCACAACCTCTGGGAATGCATTTGTAAAATGTGAAATACACAGGCATACCCTTTGACCCAATGATTTCAGTGCTAGGAATTTATCCTGTGGAAATGCTGAGCAAGTATTCAAAGGCCTATGTTTTTTTGGGGTGTTCTTTGCACCTTTGTTTGTAATGTGGCAACAACTTAAATGTCTTTAAACAGCCGACTGAGTAAGCAGATCATGATATATTGCTGCCGTGGGACACCCTGCAGGCTTTTTTAAAAAGATGGAGCTTATATGTACTGAAATAGAAAGATACTTGTGGTATGTGAAATAAAAACAAGTTGTTAAGCAGAATAGTATGCAGTTTGATTCTATTTGTGTTATGTATCTATATCTGTTAGAACATTTCTGCAGAAAATAGTGGCTGGGGAGTTAGTTAAGGTGCAGAGGGAGGAATATACTTTTCGTTTGACTCTCTTCTGTATTGTTTGATCATTTTTTTTATGGTGTGCAAGTATTACCAGTACCTTTATTAGTTTCAAAATTTAACATTTATTAAACTTGTATAGGCACAAGTTTATTTTTTAAAAAGATTTATTTATTTGAGAGAGCACCAGGGGCAGGAGGCAGAGGAAAAAGGAGAGAGAGAATCTCAAGCAGACTCCCCACTGAGTGTGGAGCAGAATGTGGGCTTCATCTCAGGATCCTGAGATCAGGGCCTGAGCCAAAAACCAAGTCAGACGCTTAACCAACTGCACTACCCAGGCTACAATCAGATGCCACCCAGGCACATAATTTAAAGAATCCACAAATTCCATACAGTTTGTAAAAACAGCAGTCCCCTGCATAAGTCCACCTTTAGCTATATCTTCTGACATTAACCCTGTATTTCTTTTTTAGAGGTTTTATTGATTTATTCATGAGAGACTCAGAGAGAGAGGCAGAGACATAGGCAGAGGGAGAAGCAGGCTTCTCGTGGGGACCCTGATGTGGGACTCAATCCCAGGACCCCGAGATCATGACCAGAGCCGAAATTAGATGCTTAACCACTGAGCCACCCAGGCGTCCCAACCTTATATTTTGAAATCACATGCATATATTGCTGTTGCTTGACTTAAGTAGTGTTTATTTACTTCCTACCATTGAAATCGAGGATTTGGATCTCTCACACACCCATTTTCTCCATTTTACTCAACAGTCCAACACTCAATGTTTGTTTCATGAGATAGGTTCTTCCCTTGGCATCTAGGACACCATTCTCTCTTTGTTCTTTTCTTGCCTCATTAGCAGCAACTTCTGTCTTCTTATTGATTCCTCCTTTTCCCAAACTGTAACACTCATGAGACCTCCTTGGTTCAGTCCTAGGACCCCCTCTCTATCTACACTCACTTCCCAGGTAATTCATCCAGTGCCATGGCATTAACTACCAGTGACATGCCAATCTTGCCCAAATTTACATATTCAGCCACCTCTATCCCTGTGCAGTAAACTCCTGTATCTTACTGCCTACTCACACCTACATTTGTTTTGTCTTGTAATAGCTCAAATTTCAGATGTCCAGAGCAGAACTCTTGATTTTCTCCCAAGCCTATTCCTCCCCAACATCCCCCTTATAAATAGCAGCACCATCCTTTAAGATGCTCAGGCCCAAAGCCTTAGAGTCACTCTTGCTTCTTCTCTTTCTTATTCCCACATCCCATCATCTGCGAATCCTGTCTGCTTAGTCTTCAAAATATAACCAGCATTCCATCTGCCCTTGTTGTCACCCTATTCAAAGCACATCATCTTTCAATGGTGTCCCTGCTTGTGACCTTGTTCATCTTTACAGTCTTATTCTCCATATAACAGCTGGAGGGACATTTGTACAATGCACATCAGAGCACAGCAGGAAACCCTCACTAGACTCATTGCACTGAGTAAAAGTTCTTTTCTTGGCTTTCAGAGCTACACAGGACCTTCCCTCACTGCCTGTTCTGATCTCACCTCTAGCCACCATCAGCCTCTTCAGCTGCTTCAGCCATACTTGTCCCACCTCATGGCCTCTGCCCATGTTGATCTCTCTTTACTGGAACATTCTTCTTCAGATCTCTTCCTCACTTCCTACAGATCTGTGCCTAGGCTGGATTTCTCTGCTGGCTTCTCTTAGATCCACTCCCCAACTCTTCTCAACCTGCTTTGTGCCTTTGGAGGCTGGTTTTGGTAGACTCCATTCATGGGCTCTCTCACTCACGGATTCCTATTCAGTGGCCAGTGGGAGTCACCATCAGGAGATAGAGAGAGGGGGGTTGCCTGGGTGGCTCAGTCATTTAAGCTTCTGCCTTTGGCTCAGGTTATGATCCCAGGGTCCTGGGATTGAGCCCTGCATCAGCATCTTCGGGCTCCCTGCTCAGCGAGGAATCTACTTCTCCTTCTCCCTCTGTCCCTCCCCACCACCTGTGCTCCCAATCTCTCTCTCTCAAATTTTAAAAATCTTTTAAAAAAAGGAGATAGATGGAGAGAGGAGGGTGGGTTATAGCATAGCCCTTGGCTCCCTCTCCACTGGGTCTTGTATTAGTCTGGGTTCTCCGAGACATAGAACCAATGGGATATAGAAAGAGATGTAGAGTTTTGAGGAATTGTTTCATGTGATTATGGTAGTTGAGAAGCCATAGTTTGCTCTCTGTAACAGGAGGCCCAGAAAAGCTGGTGGTGTAATTTCCAGCCAGACCAATAGGTCTGAGAACCAAGGGGACCATTTATATAAATCTCATTGTGATTCTAAACCCGAGAACCAGAAGCTCCAAAGTCTGAGGGCAGGAAAAATGGAGGTCCCTGCGTATCCTCTACTTCTTTGTTCTTTTCAGGCCCTCAAGGGTTAAGATGATGCCCACCCACTGCTAAACCCTTCTGGAAATACCTTCTCAGACACATCCAGTAAGAATGTCTTACCATCTATCTGGGCATCCCTTAGTGTAGTCAAGCTGACACCTAAAACTAAGCATCTCAGGGACACCTGGGTGGCTCAGTGGTTGAGTGTCTGTCTTTGGCTCATGTCGTGATCCCGGGGTCCTGG